ATTAGTGCCAGTTGCAATTCTGTGTTAAATAATGTAAAAACACGTTTGAGTGAACAGTTCAGAATGACTGATCTTGGAAAGCTTTCTTTCTTTCTCCAAATACAGTTTAAGTTTTAAAACAATTGTATTGAAATGAATCAAACAAAATATATTGAAAAATTTTAACCAAATTTAAAATTTAATTGTAAACCTTGACCAACACCTTGAGAAATCTGTATCAATCAAATGTATGAGAGCAATGATGAACCAGTAGACAGAAAATACTACTGAGAGATAGTTGGAAGTCTTGTATATGTTATGACCACCACTTGGCCTGATATTAGTAACAAAAACTGTTACAATATTCCGCAAATCTGACCTTGGATCACTTGATAAGAGCCAAACAAGTCTTGCGCTATTTGAAAGGGACAAAAAATACACTGTTTAGTGTTTAATAAGTCAAATAAGCCCCTAACTTTAAGAGGTTTTTGTGATGCTGATTGGAAAAATTCAAAAGATCGCCATAGCATGACAGGACACAGTTTCCAGTTAGCACCAAACAGTTCAATTGTTTTGTGGAAAACAAGAAAGCAACCTATAGTTTCATTATCAACCTGTGAAGCAGCGAACATGGCATTGGCAGCTGCCATACAAGAAGCAAAATTCTTTGTTCAGTTATTAGCCACCATAATTAATGCAACTAAAGACCAAGCCACAATCTATTGCAATAATCAAGGTACTATTGCTTTAGCTAAGAATCCAGTCTACATCAGCGATCAAAACAAAGTACAACTTCATAAGAACTGAACTTCAAAAAGGTACAATAAAATTGGACAGTATTCCAGCAGAAGAAAATGTTGTCAATATATTTCCTTTATTTTTTTTTTTTTTGTAAAAGGAATAAATTATAATAAAAAAAAATATTAATGGAAGATTAAAAATTATAAAGAAAATATATATATAAAAATAAAAAAAAAATCTATTTTGTAGGCAAATTATATATATATGTATTTGTAAATGTTTTGCATCTATTTTGTTTATATTTATTGTCTCTATACAGGGCTCTACGGACAAATTTACCTTTAGTTGACCTTTGACAACTAAATATTTTTGTTTACTAGCCAAATAGAAAAGTTACAAGCCAAATCCATGTAATGTTATTTCACTCTAATGTTATGAATAAAACAATTCCAGGTGAAGTTTTGTTTTATTTTCTAATTCTCTAAGACAATACAGACGAAATTTATGGGAGGAAATTTAGAAATTTCAAGAACAATTACATTCAGTGGTACTGTTACCTGGCAAATATCACTTAGAATAATTCAGTCAACTGGCAAATACATGTTTGAAGATCTCATCAGTTTCAATATTAGTTACTAAACTTGAAGCAACAACCTCATAAAGACATTACATTCACTTCAATTGTTACCTGGCAAACTTTGAAAGGTGTCATTTAGAAATATTCAGTAAACTTACTGACAAAATTTAAATGCAAATTTGAAGTCTTCAAGATCTCATCAGTTTCAATATTACTAAACAACCTCAAACAAAAAGATCATAAATACATTATATTGAGTCTAGAAACTGTAGAACTGTTTACAGTTACCTGGCAAATATCACTCAGGATAATTCAGTCAACTGACAAATGCAAGTTTGAAGATCGCATCAGTTTCAATATTATTAAACTTGAAACAACAACAACAACCTCATAAAAGCATTACATTCAATTCAACTGTTACCTGGCAAAAATGTCATTTAGAAATATTCAGTCATGATTAGCAGTTATTGTAACACTCTTAACAGGTTTTTACCTTATTTTCAATTTCCCTATCAGGTTGGTAAATGTCACTCAGAAATATTAACTATATTAACTATAGTAATGCTGATCTAAGATCTTAAAGTGGGACTGGAAAGGGAAATGTCCAGATGGTCTGGCAAACACATACTGTGTCTTTGTGTTACTGACATTGAACTTATTTCTATCTGTTTCAAACTTAAATTTTATCTTTTAAAATTTATAACTCCATTTGCCCAATATTGAATTGCATTTACCTTTTTATTCCAATTTCCCGTCCCACTTTAACACTTGATCAATTTGAATTGTCAAATCAATAGCTTGTGACTAAAACTTTTAGTTTTCAAACAGTACTGCTTTGTCCTTACACTTTCGATCAACAGACACAATGTTAGCTGGCCAGTCACACTGTCCTGCCCCAAGCAATCCTTCTCCAGCAATCCTTCTCCTGCTGTTTGCCATCCACATGTCAATGGATTTCTCTGGGTTGAATTCAGCCAGATCTGGACCTTCAGAAGAAAGCAATATTAAGTCTGACAGTCTCTGTACAGACAAGCTGCTCCATATGTCGCTCTTTATTCTCTTCTGTGCAGAAAAGGCTCTCTCACACTCTGCAGAGCTGATTGGAAGAGTGAGCATTATTCTCACAAGATGAAGTACATTGCAGAAGTCAGTCTTATATGGGTCCTTGGTCAGTAGACACAGATCAGAATAAGACTTGTCCCTAAAAGTATTTGCAACAAAGAATTTCATGTGTCTCCATTCCGTCTGAACAACTTCCATATTGCATCCTGCAGCCACAACACCATTCCTCTGTCCTGTATTCACATTTGCCCTATCTACACAAAACCCAACAATTCTCAATGACATTTCATCATCACTGATCCCCACTTTTGAAAGAGCAGATTTAGTAGCAGAGATTATGCCTTTAGCATGGCCATGTTCAATGGCAATAACTTCAACAAGTTTATTTTCTGCTTTGCCATTCAACACTGTTCTCATATAAACTGCTTCATTTTCTGACACAGAGCTGTCAGTGGCACCATCAATCATAACTGACACATAATGAGAGTCACTGATTCCAGTGTCTCATCTCTGATCGTGCTTGCAATAGTAGACATCATTTCACCACACCTAACATCATTACTGTATGCAGGTGTCACAGGTAGCCCATTTTTGTATTGAAGTAAGAGTAGGGGCTTGAGTTTTGTAAAGGCTATTTTTTCCTTCCCTATACAATAAACTGTGTTAAATTTAACTTTCAAATCCGTCAAATCCTTTTCGTTTGATTTGATTTCTGCATCGAGAAATTTCTTGGCAATGTGAGACTTTTCAATTGACTGTTTGCTTGTTTTATTAATGATAAAGTTGTGGCACTTGCCGTGTCTAAGACTTTTTTTATGGGCAAGGACGTTTTCACATTTAAATTTAGTACTACCATCTACAAAATCAGTTTTTCCAGCCAAAGTTGAACCAGCCCTACGACAAAAATCACAATACATCACGTTTTTTTTCTCTATAAAACGGGTTGAAGCCAGGTAAAGTTGACAACCAAACTTGTCGGAATTCTCATACAATGGATGGCTTACTTTCATTTTGTGTGTCATCATTACTTTGTTTATCATTCGGGAATTCTTTTGAGTCTCAGTTTCATTCAGCATTTCTGCTTTGTTCGATTTTGCGAAGAAAGACGATATTGGCTTTAGTATTGTTTTCTTCATTGCCATGTTTCTTTAAATCTTTGCGCATGCTCAGAAAGACGAATGAAACCTGAAACTGCGAATAAAATGTGTGCTGCCATCGTCAAAATGCCAATTAATATCTTGTATATTGTTCTATTAAACGAGGGGCAGGACGAAGGCCATTAATGAAAAATTAATGAAAATTACATATGCAGACCCCTGTCAACCTAAATATTTAAAACCATAATGAAAATAAACATTGAGAAATCAGAAAAACAAAAGAAAATCTAAAATTAAAAAACACCTAATAAAAATTACTTTTCCTCAAGGAACGTCAAAATACTTCAAAGTGAAAAAAAAATCAACCGAAGTGAAATTATGATGTGTAGGTTTGAAACTGTTATTGAAAATTGTTCCACAAAAGACTCTTGCTTGAGAAGAAGAGGGGTATGATAAGATAAGAACATGGCCCATTGAAAGATTCCAGCAACTTACATAGGGTAGATGGCAGGGGTAAGCGATGGGGGGGTCGCTGTTGGAGGAATGAAATAGAAAGCCGACTGAGACAACATTGTCCCTTTGAAGCTGTTGACGGTCGGTCGGTCAAATCGGCTCTCAGTTTTTGTTTTATGTTTATTTTTTTTAATTTTTTACGCTGAAATGGAGGTGATTGGGTTTTGATCGTGTTTTTGTGGTCATAGTATTCAAATTTGGTTGGGTGGATCAGAGGAAGATAGTAGCAGGCCTTTTGTCGAATTCGAAAGCCTCTTCTCTCATGTTAAAAATAGAGACATTGGTAATCAGGCTCGCGGGCCGAATCCAGCCCGCAGGTTACCAACCCTTGTATTAAACCTTTTATTGTTTAAATAATTTGACTTTGCTCGTTTTATTAAAAAAAAAAATGGTTTAACAGACATTTTTCGCTCAGTAATGAGCTTTGGAAGATTGTCGGTGAAAAAAACACAGTCGCCAAAAGATAAGCATTTTATTATTTCTAGTCACCACTTGGAAAAATCACTCGCAAATGCGATTGTTTCACTTGCAACGTAGAGCCCTGCTATAGAAGGGAGGAGTTTAATATGAGTTCACTCATCCATTTAGATTAAAGATGGGTGGGGGTGTTGATTTTCCAGCAAAATGGGAATGATTGCAAAAGTTTCCCCCTCTTATAGTCAGAAGGACACAGACTGCATGCTGGGATTTTACAAATATTTGTTTTTCTCTGAAAATACATGACTTCTTTAATGATAGCAACATTATTCTTGGATATCCTTGGTCAGGAAACATTTTTATATCTGGTTTATTTGTGTATAGTATACATATTTCCTTAATAATAACAGTTATATTTGGTCATTTTATTCCCAAATGTTACCACTTTATACATTTGCAAACTCAACTTAGTTTCCTGACCAAGGATATCCAAGAATAGTGTTGCTATCATTAAAGAAGTTATGTATTTTCAGAGAAAAACAAATATTTTTAATGTTCTTCATAATGTGATTAAAGTGAAAACACTTCCAAATTCTTATGATTTTCTTTTCCAGGTACCAACCAATGGTCTCATCCTGAAGGGCTGGTACACCGCTATTACTATTGCAGTATTTGGGAATGTGGCAGCCATTGAAAGAGTGTCACCTCCACCTCCTCCACCACCACCCCAGCAACCAGTTCACAGAATAAAAGGTATACAGTATAAGTAAAAATGTACCTATGCAAATTTATCAAAATCATTGAGTTCAAGCTTTATTACTTGTCATCTCAGATACCACAAAATTGAATTATCTACAAAATTGTGATATCCAACCTCAACAGGAAAGATGATATGTGGCAAATGATTTATCTTGTTCAACTGGATTTTAAGGTTTCATATTTGTCTGGTTTTTCTATTATAACAGGTCTTCAGAAAAATTTACTTTTAGAATTTATTTTTTTGATTTCACTTTGATTGGCAAATTGAAGTGATTTTTTTTTTTTTTTAGCAGTCTTGCAATGCATCTTAATAGATTTAAGCACTCATATTGTTTAAGATATTACATATATTAAGGACTTGTATAAGATTTTACAACCAGTAATGATGCATATTAATATGAAATATTTCTTTCTTTCTTTCTTAGATTTGTTGCTTAGAGTTAATGTCTTTTAAGGTTTTACATATGATTGAGTATTCAGTACTTCTATCGGGAAATTTAACTACTGTTTCTCTTTGCTTGAATTCAACAATAATTTCTCCATTGAATCACAGTTTCTTGTTTTGTTTTCAAGATTCTTGGCAAAATGGAAATATTAACATTTAGATTTAACAAATTCTGCAGCATCTTAGAAAAATGTTTTAATTTTGACTTTTAAGAAGTGGGCTATTCTTAACCAATTAAGATTTTTCCTGTTTCTGTTACCTATAATAACCAAAATAAGTTAGGAATTAATAAAAGTTACATACATCATGCTTTGTCTTTTGATTTAGAGCACATTTGTATGCTTTCTTTTCTAAGACGCGAGGTTCATCAAATTCCTGATTGAAAATGATTTTTCAAATGAGTTCTCGTTGAGAATAGATTGCCATTGAATTATTTTTTTTTCTTCTTACTCTTCATTAAGAATTGTAATGGAATTATTACAAATATAAGAATAACCATTTTGTAAAATACCTTTTTATTGATCATGAAAAACAATGAAAACTTTTTTTTATTCCAGCATCTGAAAACCATCCACAGGCAGATAAGGCTCCTGATTGGGAGCCTCCAAGGCAACAACATCCATTAGACTACATTCAGCAACAGGTTGAACAGCAGATGCAAATTCAACAACTACAGCAGGCGCAACAGCAACAAGCACAGCAGCAGCAGGCACAACAACAACAGCAACAGCAACAACAGGTCCAACAGCAGCAAGCACAACAACCACCACCCCATCAGCAGCAAGCCAGTCAACAATCACAACATCCGTCACAACAGCAGGCCCAACAACAACAACAGCAGCAGCAGCAGCAGACTCAACAGCAGCCACCACAGCAGCAACCACCACAACAGCAGAGTCCCGTTTTACATCAACCCCAACATCCTCCCCACACCCCACAAGCACAGACTCCATTGCTACCTTTGCCCCACCGACCATCTGATGTATACCGGCAAAAAGATGAAATATTTGACCCTAGACAACCCCCTTCCCAGGTCTCCAGAGACCTCTCAACATCAGACTATTCCTCAACTCAACGAGAATTTCCAACTAACTCTCGGGACAGCTTTGGTCAGAGGGAATCCTCTGCAGATCGTAGTGACCGGGGCTATCGGAGGGACTTTGGCGATTTCTCATCAGAGTCTAAAGACCCGTTTGATAATTCTGATTTTTTTGATGAGCAGCATCGCAGCACAAGCTCCTATGAACGGGACCGGGAAGTACACCATAGAGATGGACACAGTGTACAAGATGGAGATTCATCTCGAGATTATGGCAGCTCAAGAGAAAATAATAGAGAACTAAATGGCAAAGACCAAAGGTCACGTTCTCCACTTCGAGATAGAGACTGGGATCGGGAACGTGATCGCTATAAAGAAAGAGAACGAACCAGAGACTACTTGGAACGAGACACACGAGATAGGGCTAAGTCACCCTCGAGTCGGTCTCGATCACCTACAAAATCACGTACACCACCACCTGTTTCACCAAGACAAGAACCAATTGAAGAGGTTGAAGCAGGTATCTTTTTTTTTTTTTGACATTTTTTAAACAATGAAGTACATATAGAAAAGTTAGAAAAACTCTTTTCTGTTTTTCAAAATAATATCATGATCTCATTAGCAAAATACATGAATAAGTTTTAAAATGTAATATATTGAAGATATTACTTTTGAAATTTCAATTTACATGGCGTCTCGATTAAGGGACGAGCCTCACGAAATGGAATGGCTCTTGCAGCGTGATGCAATGGCAATGTGAGTTAATAGCAGACAGATAGCTGGCAGAGAATAGCAAAAAAAAAATATTTTGTTTATAGTTACTTTGTTCAAACGTTTTTTCAATAAATTGTTTTATTATTTGATAAGTGATCAAAATGATGCAATTCAAAAGGGTTATATGTATATAACCCTTTTGATTTGCATTATCAATTACATTATTGATTAACTAGGTTCATTTCTGTTTAGAATTATTAAGGTGTTTAACAAGGTTTTTGCGTCTAGCATTCAATTCTTCCAGTGGTTCATTTGTACTGAAGAATGTCACTTTGTTATGCAGATAAATATTGCAGCTCACATGCAGATTGAATTATGAGCTTAACAAAAATCAGTTTACAGCTAAATCATATAACCTCAGACAATTGTATATGTCAGCGTGTGTGTGTGTATATATATATATATATATATATATATATATTCTTATTGGACTTAGCACTCAGAGCCTGGAGACTAGAAAGATGAAAGTATACTTGCTAGGACCTACTGTATTTGTTGGTTTTAATGCTATCTTATTTAGGCATTGAGCACTGTAATTTATATTTTTGACACTTTTTATGTTTTAAAGATCTACAACATTTCCTTTCTTTATATGCCATTAGGTATGAGTGGCGACAGTCTGTTTCATGCTTGAACACAGTCTTTAGGTCTAAAGATTGTGTTCAAGCATGCAGCACTTGCCTCTCAGTATTGACCTCAGCTCTATTCTTATATATACACACATGCTTTATCCCAGATATTGAGCAAGTTTTACTCATAAATATAGCATATGTTAGAACTATATTTTTTTATCGTGTATATATATATATATCTATCTATCTATCTATGTATGTATGGATTCCCCCATTGGTTATGACAGTTCGCCTAAGTTAGTCTAATAATTCAGTTATTAGAAATGAACTACCAGACTACTTAACACATATGAGTTGATTCATACCTTTCTGAAAGGTATTTGTGTGAAAGTGAATATGACAAACTTGATAGAAATTCAAACTCTGCTCAACATTTTCTCATACCGAGCAATTAACCATTACACCACTTGTGCGCGCACACAGACACACACTAATAATAACTATACATTTTGTTCCTCACAGTTTTGTAGTACCAAACAATGTGGAACAAATATTTTTTAATATTTTAGGTCAATTTTCATCATCTTCATAATATGATGTAAGACTGGAAATCAATCTTATTAAATACAAATAAAATGGAATAAATGAATCAAAAATATTGTCAAAAAACCTAAGGAGTAAAAACAGATCTTAGATAGTAATGAATGTGGATTTAGTCAAATCTGAAAACTGTTTCTCTCCTTCCATGAGATTTGAAGAGATTAACTGCTTTCAGTATTTTAACTGATACTTTTTGTAGTCTAGCACCAATTTCTCATAATGTAAAACATGCAAACATGTTTCTCATCTTGAAATATTTTTTTTAAAGAAACTGTCACTCGGTTTATACCAGTTAATGCTATATAATGAATAGCAAACCACTTTCCTTGTAACAAATGAAATGCCTCCTAAATCATTATCCTATCAATTGAAAATATTTTTTTCTTTATTTTTTAGAATCTGCACCTGCCAATAATGAAGATATTTACAGCCTCACTCCAGTTCATTCACCAAATGTAATGTTTTTCTCTGATGTAGAAAACCAGGTAAGTTTTTCATATTGCTTTAAATAAACAGACATTTGACAGACTTTGGAAAGAATGTACATGGTTATAATAATTAAAATAAACATAATTCATATGTTGATTTTTGTGCTTTTATGAAAATTTAAGCTGATCATTTCAGAAAGAGCTTCTTTATGTGGTTGGTTTTGTCTATATATTCATAGGCACAGTTTTGGTTAAATTTTTAAAAGACTTACTGTGATGGTGTATCTTATATCAAGAAGGTCTTTTTTTTATCGTCTTGAAGACTTTGTTCTTTGTTTATGAATCTCTTCATATCAGAATGAATTGAAAATATCACATCGCATGAAAAAACTTCTACTTAAACTGAAGTGCCAAAAATTTAAAAACACCTACCTAGAAAGACATAATGCCTTCCTTTATTTGAATAACAGTGGCTGTGTAATATGGCATGTAGTCTGTGAAGTGTTGGAGTTATTGCACTTGTACATCTTTCCAGCTGTTGCTAGTTACTGGTCGTTCCATTGTTACCTGTGAGTGCCTAAAGTTTTCACATGTCTGTCTGGAATTCACATATTCCTGGTCTACCTTGTCTTTTTGGCCAAGAAAAACCTTTGAGATTATATCCTGTCCTAGTTCTACCATTCTGTGGTCAAACAATGTAATTCTTGTTTACCCTCCTGTGGTTGCCACAGCTGTACTGCTTTTTTAGCTATTATATCACACCTAGATCATTTGGAAGAGTCTATTTCTATAAATAAGGGAGGGCAAAACTATCTACAGTACCACTTTTAAATTTTTGGCACTTTGTTTTATAAGTTGAAATTTGATTAAATTACCTTTTATTTCAGAAAATATGTATTTCCACATTGCTTGCCTGTGCATTCATGAAGTAACACTTTAATCCACTAGTCTATTGTCTGTGCATTAAAGCATTGCTTTGTGAATTTGGTGACATAGTAATTGTGAGTTCAATCCAGTGTGTAATTGGATTCTGTAGAAAAATGGGCAAGCAATAAATGAGGGGTAATAAATAAGAACTAGACAAGATATCGCTGGACATGGGCAGTAGAATGAGAACAATCTACTCCTGTAAATTAAATAAAGGGTTTAGTTCAGAATTCCCTGTAGGTTACTAGAATCGACATGCAGCTGATGATGGCCAGTAGGCTCAATTGCTGAAACATTGGGATAACAACAAAGATGAGGACAATAGTAAATAACAACTTTTCATTCCAGAAACTCAGAAATTTTTTTCTTTTCTGTTTATCAATTTATATTTTCTCTATTTTTAGTAGATATTTGCAATTCTAACTTAAATGTTAATGAATTTATTTCAGGAAGCAGATGATGGTTATGAAGACATCACATCAGATGATGAAGAAGATGGATTGATTTGTGGTGATGAAACAGATATGCAGGTTTGTTAATAGATTTTAACAAATTTTCAAATTTCAACAATAATTCACTTTTCTTAAAGATTTTATAAAGCATACTGGAAATGTGATTTAAGAATACTCTAATATATTTCTATGATTTGAACAAATTTTTAATTACTTAGACAATGACTACATTATCAGGTTGGTTAACTTGCCATTTATCTGATAAAAAGCTAAATGAAATCACATATCACTAACCAGCAAAACAAAAACTATGACAATACTAAAACAAGAATAACAGCATAAACTGTAAAAATGATTACAAATACTAGAAGCCTTAACTATAGTAGGCAAACAATTCAGCCTCAATAAAATCTTATTCAATTTAGAAACAAACATACTAACTACATTTCACAATTGATAAAACAAAAATAGAGTGATATCACAAAGTGACATATAAAGACACAATACTTGAGAATCCACCATTATGTAAAGATGTTAAGTTAAAAAAAACACTGAGTGACAAAACACTATCAACTCAAAAGACATTGGACAATTTATATTCAAATTCTCACTGGAAATGAAAAAAAGGATCTAAACTGAGTGTTAACCAAAAACTTACACACACACACGTTTGATTTTCTTATTATTTTACATAAAAAAAAATGTTTCCTTTTTATAGTTTCTATAAGTTGTGACATGGCAGATGTTATTATATACATGTACTATAAAAATGATATATAGATAACTAATTTTAAATAATTTTTTATAAAGAATATATTACAATTTTTTGTTAATGTTTTTTATTAATGATTTATTATTTTTCTGGGGAAAAAACATTTTATTGTAGCCATGTTAATGAAATCCTATTTATTTCTTTCAGAATGTTGAATATTTTGATGTTTCTGATTCCTGGAATGTTTCCACATCTAGTTTCAATCCATTTCAATGTGATTTAACAACACTTACTGTAAGTAATTTTTTAAAAGAATAATTAATTTCTGTTCAAACTTGTGCCAGTATTAAATATTGACAAATTTGAATCCATAGTTATTGGAACAAAATCAACATTGAATGAAATTCATTATTGTATAAGAGTTTTGAACCCTATTAAAAATACTTGGTATTGAATAAACTTCATTTATAGTATCAATAATACCAAAGTGTTTTTGACAATCAACTTCACTTTCTGCCTAAATAAATGTGATAAATATAATTTAAACCACAATTTTAATAATGTTGGGTGGTCCAGAAAGTTCATTCTGATTTTTAAGGGAAATTAAAACAACAAAATTATGCCATTAAATTTTTTTATTCAACTAAATATGAACCATTTTGTTGCACAACCTTTCTCCATTTTTCCTTCAACTTAAAGATTTCATCTTCCCAGAATTTTCAATGGTTTCTCAGCAAAGAACTTTTTAAAGTCGTTTTTTATGTCATCTAAAGAATTAAAATTTTCACCATTGAGATTATTTTGCAAGAACTTGAATAAATGAAAATCCTAAGGAGCAAAGGCAGGTGGAGTAACCAGCCAAGCTGTAACAATTTTGGCTGGGTTGCAAAAGAAATGTGAGATCTGGCATTATCCTGATGAAAAACAACACCTTTCTTGTTTTGCCAATTCTGGGCATTTTTCTTGAATTGCTGTCTTTTAATTTGTCTGGTTGCAAGCATTACTTTTCAGAATCAGTTGACTGATTACTTCGCATGAGATCATAGTACAGGATTCCTTTCTAATCCCACCAGATGAACAGCATGACTTTCTTAGGATGAAGACTTGCTTTTTGAGATGGTTAAAGTTGGCTCATGTCACTTACCAAAGGTTGTTTTTCACTGAATATTGTTGTAAACAATCCATTTTTGATTACCTGTCACAATTTGCTTTAAAAGGTGTGCATTTTCATTGTGTTTATGCGGCAAATCACAGATGTGATTCAAAAGATTCTTTTCACTCATATAAAACATTGTAGCAATTTGAGTACCCAAGCTTCACTAAGTGCTCATGGATAGTGGAGTTTGATAAATTTAGTGTTTCTGTAAATTTCCACATTGTGTAATGCAGGTTATTCTCGATCAATGCCTTCATTTGGTCATCATTTGTAGGAAGGGGGTCTGCGCAAGAATTCTTCATCAATAAGGCTACAATCATCAACTCTAAACTTAGCAAATCACTTCCGTACAATTCTGTCAGTTAAACCACTTTCACCATACACAGCATATATCTTTCTGTTGTTTGAAAGGCATTTTTGCCTTTACAGTTAAAAAAAAAAAAAAAAAGCAAAAAAAAAAAGCATTGTCTAAAATGCAGTTTATAATCTTCCAATTTTTATAGGGATGCAAAATTGACATGAATTAAGTAATTTTAAACTTTCTTTCTCAAGAGATAGTTCTCTTGTGCTCTAATCAGAAATGTAAGCAGATTATATCTGTTGATAAATTTGACATGATGAACATGAACAACTAAAAATCAACATGAACTTTCTGGACAACCTAATAATATTAACATAAAATATAAAAATTAATATTTAAGCAAATTTCTAAAATAACATTGAATTGAATGTTAAATTCAGGATAAAAATATCAAGTATGATTTAAAAAAAAAATAAAAAGGTCAAGAAATCCAATATTCAAGTGAATGCATGCAAAATGCATTCATAAGCTATTACTGCATTATAATTATGTGTATGTATGGCGCGCACACACACATACATACATATATATATATATATATAACACGTAAGAGGGTGCTGAAAAGTTGTTGGTCCAACTCTCAAAATTTGTATTTCAGTGACCAAACATCAGAATACTGCCTGAATTTCTGAGATGAGGAGTTATTGTTATTTACAGTTGGACTAATGTCCTCAACTTTATTGTTATCACAATCTTTCAGCTTGTACCCTCCAGTACTACTTCAGGTAATTTTGAACTGGACCCTATTTTTAATCTATGGGAATAGATTGTTTTTCTTTCTCCACCTATGTTTATGGATATCGTGTCTTGTTTCCACTGAGCCTGAGTTTGTACTACTTAGCCTAAGGATTAAACTTGTTGTTCTACCAACAAATTCAAGAACCAATACTTTAATCCTCTGTTCAGTGGGACAATCTCTGAACTTGGGGCCTTAAACCTAATGTTTTTATTTCCTTCTTTGCTGCTGCAGCTTTAATTAAGGGTGAGAAAATGAGATCAACTATGGTTTATCATGTATAAAGAGAAAAGGGTGCTCACCAACTCCTATGGAACAAAGTAAAAAATATTAAAGACCACTACAGAATCAGAGTTGTGAAGGAATCAATGCATATGCTAAGCTATGATAGCCCTACTCAATAGGGCTAGTATAAATATCAATACCATATGTGATCTATTAAAAAAGAAAGGCCACAGTGGGAGCCAAACTGTATAGCAAGGCTGTAAGAGTAGGGAAATGCACTAGTTTTAAGACTCCAAATTAATTCACATCATCTTCAACTCACTCTGACTGGAAATCAATCTTATTAAATGCAAATAGAATAAATGATACAAAGATTATTGGCAAAAATAAAGGGCAAACAGATATTAAGTAGTAATGAAAGGTACATTAGCCTAGTAAATTTAAAATTTTGGTTTGTGAATTTAGGGGCATAGTAATTGCAAGTTCAATCCTTGGGTCAAGTAATAGACTCAGAATTAGTGGAAAGAGAACAAGTAAAAAATTTCCTTATGGTTACCTGGATTTGACAACAACTGAAATGTGATAACAACAAAGATGAGGACATTAGTCTGAATGTAATTAATCAGAATACTATTTTTTTTTTTTTTTTGTAAGTGGGTGGGGTGAATAACTTTTCAGTATCCCCACATATATAAAATTGACTTCTGTTGTAATTTTTTTTCCAGCATTTTATGGATCCTTCTTTAACACCATTTGAGTGTGAAAAAGCTAAATTGTTGCAAGCTGACTCTGTGTCCAATGAAATGCCCACTGAAGCAAAGACTCTACTTGATTATATTGAAGTTTTCTCAACTAAGGAACACAGGAAAAAGTGATTAAATTCAATAACCTCTCTCTCTCTCTCTATATATATATATATATATATATATATAGTTGGTGCATAATTATCAGGCGTTTTTAATCAATATTTATTATGAAAAAAGAAACATGACAATTCAACAATAACATTTTTAAATGATTAAAGAGTGTATGATTATTGACACACATTTTTATAATCTGAAAAAAATATTTTTATTAAAAAAAGTAAAACAGCAATTTTTATTAACAAATAACTTACCTACAAAAGCACCTGATAATTATGCACCAACCCAAAACATATATATATATATACACACACACACACACACATTTCTTCATATGAAGTGGACTAACAAATGCCTTTTTAAGAACAATAATTAAAAACTTGATTATCATGTTTTATCTTTTGTAGATAAATCTTATTGCATTGCATTATTGAATTAAAATAGTATCATTTAATTAAGGCAACAAATTCCACAGTATTTATTTTGATTAACTGCATTCCTTACAACGATTACTTTGCTACTTACCTAAATGTAAAACAGTTTGAGTTGATACTAATAATGGCTATAAAAAGTTGATTATTTATGGCTAATTTGTTTAAATAATGCACTGTTTATTGTTTGTATCACGTGACAATAATAGTAAGTAAAATGATGCACTGAAATAAATAACTAAATAATCGTTTTAACTTTTTGAATATCAGTTCCTTTAGTTATATAATAATAATTTTAAGAATCTTTCAAATATTTTTTTTTTTTTTTTTTTAAAGCTAACCTAATGTTTTTATTTCATGAACTTATTGTTGATTCTATTTTCAGATGGGTTGAAGCTATGGAGACAGTGCCTTCTCTCTTGGACAAAGGTCTTTCCTACTTTCTCTATAAAGATGAGAGAAAAGGTAATGTGAATGCATTCATTTCCAATAGTTTATCTTTGTCAAATGTTTAACATTTATACTGGTGTGGCTAAACATATGTGAAACCTCATTAAAAATTGTAAAAAAATTCAATAGATTTAAGTAATATCACTAAAAATCTCAATTCTGTACCAATATTGGTTCACACAAAAATTGACACACTTTTTGTGCAAAAAGTAGGCTCTAATTTGAATTTCCACATTCACATTTATTAACCAATCAGTGATGTTATCTCAAACACTCTTAGACCTTTGAAAAATCAGACAACCTTGTTTGTTTGTCTATGAAATTTGAGAGATCATTTCAGAAAATGATCAATATTTTTCCCTCCTAAAAATTGATATTTAAAAATTGGTAAAAATATGTATTAACCAATAAACTTCTTAGTTCAGTAAATCTAACTTTTAGCTTTCTCAAGCCTATATTTTTTCTATAAATATTTGTTGCATTAAGTCAGTTTTCAGTAAACCAAGGTGGTGGTTATTGTTTTTTTTTTTTTGTTTTTTTGTGCACAAACTGACTAATCATGCTTTCACACATTTTACTGAGCAACTTCTTGCAATAACATTGCGATTTTTAAGTAAGCAACACATAAAAATATATGAATGGAATTATGTCAACAAAAATATTAGTAGTAATAACACAACTCTCATTTGCTGACTGCTGGAAAATTACATACATTCATAAAAAAATGTAAATACTTTCTCATTCTGTTTTTTCTATCATATTAGCATAATTACTTCTGTTGTGTTGTAAAAACAAAAACAAGATATTTTGATATTTTTGTGGGACTTTGTTTTGCAAGGATCTTTGTAATTCGTTTCTTGCAACTAGGAAGAAAGCAAATACTTAACAATAAAATTTATTTAAATTTGTAGAGCTGTGTTAGAAGCTTATTTCTTTCTTTGCTTTTTGCACATTTTTTCCTGTACACATATATATCTTAACAAGACATTCATTGCCTGCTATCAGCTTCTGTATATTTTTTACAGACACAGTAAAATGTCAGCGCCTAGTGTTTGAGTTATAAATTAAGTAACACTTGGTGCTTTTTCTAAACCAGCATAGACATATAATGACATACTTACAACTTGTTTTGCCACATATTTTTTATTATATTGTGTATGTGTGTGTCATTTACCTTAGTCCTTTACTGCAGAGTATTCAATCAAAACCAAAATGACAGTGCCCATAAGAAATCGTTGTTGACGTGATTTATTTCCAGTAAATGGCAATTTCCTATTTTTCCCCAAATGGGTCAGCACAGCCAGGCCACAATGCTAAAATAATGCAACAGTGAAAGTGTTAAGCTTTTGTTATCAAATAACTTTCTCTTTCATTATACTGAGTAGTGTAGAACAAGAATAATGTGAAGGATATGATACATGTAGGGGTGGTGGGGGGTATACCTTTATCAAGAAGCCCTTTAAAAAAGAATCTGATGGTTAGTCATTTGGTCAAATGATATTTTTACAAGGATGGCTTGATATTGAGGAGGATGCATTAAAGTACTGTACTTACCTTTTGGGGTATTTAAATTTAAAAAATAAACAAAAGTAACACAAAATTACTCCCATTTGCTATGTTTATTGCAGATGTCCTGAAGACTTTAGTTGAATGGTGCTTAGAAGGTTTAAATCTGAAGAAAGGCATTGCTCAACCTGAGACAGCTTTCAAAGTGAGACATTTAAAGATGGGTATCCGTCTTGCTGGTGCACTGTGTTCCTGTGATAGCCAAGTGGCAAGCATGGTTGTGGTAAGTAAACTTGTAAATGAATTACTTCAGGCTGCTTATATCAAGAAAATCAATTTTTGAAAACCATATTACATATTACACTTGGGTGAAAATAGTCATATTACAAAATAGAATTATCAACCTTAAAAATAAAGGCAAGAAGTACTTCTCAGAATAGCTACATCAATTTTTTTTTTCTTGTGGATTATCTTCTTATAGGAGCTAATGGCCAACATGTATATATGCCTGTACACACACACACACATATATATATATATATATATATATATATATATATATATATATATATATATATATATATATGAGTGTCTGAGTTGGACATCAGAATATCCAGCTTTGTAAAATCTTGACAAATTGTTATGACAAATCAGGCAGAACCCATCTTGCTTTGTGCAAGATTAATCCCTGTCCTGCCTATAAATATGTGTAGATTGCTTAGCTATATAAATCTATAAATAATTAATAATTTATTAGCTTTATTTTTCCTGTCACTGGATCTAACCAACACCTTTATCCACTGTGCCATGTGTCTTTGAGGACATCTGTGTATGAATTTCTGGGTATTATAAACCTAATGTCTTCAGCAACCATTTTTACCAGTGCCCATATTGCGATTTTTTGCTGTTATCATTGCATGTTTTATTGCAACTTTTGTTGTTATTATCGCTTTTCTCTGGTACTGCTTATTACTGGTTCCCATATTGTATTCATTTCCATGCTTGGTCGGCTCAGGAGATTTTTGTGGCCTAGCGTATGTGCTGATTCCTTAAGTTTACAAATTTTCCATTGGTGTTCTTTGTCTATGATCTCAACCTGATCCCACAGAGGGCAGTGATCTCCCTTCTCTCTCCATATGTGGTCAGACATGCCTGATTTTTCCACTTCCGCTCGTGTTAAGTTTTCTGGTGTTCTTGAAGCCTTACCTTAAGGGGGCGGCCTGTCTCCCCTTTATATTTCTTTCCACAGCTGCACGGGATAGCGTACACACAGTCTTTAGTCATGTTCTCCCCTCAGGAGAGATATCTGTGAAGTGTTGTCAAGCTTTTGAAGGTTCTCCTGATGTCATATGTATTTTCTCTGATAACCCCTTCACATAAGGCAGGCAGACTGTTTTCTGAGTGTTGTTGTCCTCCTCTTGTACATGCCTATCCCAGTTTTTCTGAGCTGCTGCCATGTACCCAGGGTAGTTGTTACATTGTAGGGTACTACTTATACTGACCAATTCTTTATCTCATGTCTCTGGGTCACCACTTATGACTTTTGCTCGGTGTTGTAAGGAGCAGACGATCCCTTTCTTTATGCTGTATGGATGGTGTGAGTTGAAATTGAGGTACTGTTCGGTGAATGTTGGTTTACAGTATATGGATGTCTTGAACCCATGCTCTGTTTGAGATATTAGAACATCCAAGAATGAGAGTGTGTTGTTACTCTCTTTCTCCATTGTGAACTGTATCGAAGGTCTTGTTGAGTTCACATGGTCCAGTAGAACATGAACATCTTCCTGGTGTGGCCAGAATATGAAGGTGTCATCTATGTACCTTAACCATATAGTTGGCTTTAAAGATGTAGATTCTAATGCGATTTCCTCAAAGTATTCCATGTATATATTCACCATTGCTGGTGATAATGGTGATCCCATTGCTAAGCCCTCATCCTGTTGATATATGTGTGATCCCATTCCGAAGTGTGTTGTTTGTGTACAGAAAGTCAACATCTCCATCAGATTAACTATTGAAATACTGGTCTGTTCTTCTAGGGATGAGTCAGTGGCCAATCTGTTTCTGACTACTGAGAGTGCCTCCTCCATGGGTACCTTGGTGAACAAACTCACCACGTCCAAGCTCACCATCTGGTTGGATAGGATGGGAGCATTTTTGATTATTTCCACAAAGTGGGAGGAGTTTTGGACATATGAAGGAGACTTTCTGATCAATGGGTCAATTATATCTACAAGGAAGCGGCTGGCACACAAAGGCTTGGCAACTAACAATCGGCCTGAGCGGAATACTGTCTTTGTAAATATTAGGGAGACTGTATATGTGAGGTAGCTTGGTGTGATGCTGCGATAACTGCCTATACATCTTAGGTGCAAAGTGATCCTTGTTCTTGATTAGTATCTGTGACAGTTTGCATTCTGTTTTCATAGCAGGATCCTTTTTCACTTTGCTGTAGCTACCATTGCTAATGAGGTCTTCCAGTTTTCTTGTATAATCTGATTTGTCCATCACTACAGTTGCATTACCTTTGTCAGCCGGTAGTATGATGATGTTTTCGTTCCTCTGTAGGGATCCAATCGCCAGCCTCTCCAGTTTTGTTATGTTAGACCTGGGCAGCTTGGCTCTCTCCAAGGTCTGCCTCACTTTCCATTTCAGTTCATCTGCCTGAGCCTGACAGATGTTCAAGGCCATGTCCTCAACTCTGGTAATGATATCCAAGTATGGCACCCGCCTTATGGTTGTGGCAAAGTTGAGACCCTTATTCAATACTGACTCCTCAGAGGCACTCAGCTGATATTGGCTGATGTTGACTACTGCTTTCACTGGTGGGTGATGGACCTTGTGCGTCACCTTCTGATCTTTCAATCTATTTAATTTTTGTACTTGGCAAGCTTTGACTACATCGAATTCATGTCTGAAGAATTTATCCAGGTCATTTTGGATCCTTCTCTGGTCTTCTTCTGTTGAAGAAATCCTCGAGCTTTATTTTCATGTTATTTATTATGTTATCCCTGATCACATATTTTTTTTATAATGATAGAATGTACTTGAACTATAATAGTAGGTTTCATAAGTTACTGACACTTATTCTTATATTTAATATGTCATAATGTTATGTAACGTAAAATAATACTTTAGTTATTTGGAGAAAACTATTTCTATTTAGTTGGTTGCAAAGTAATTGTGGTTTTAAACCATTTGTATTCAAATATACAGAGGCACACTCATTGACTGTCTCTCCCTCATGTTTTATTAAGAAACTTGTTAAACTCATGAGGACAGATTTCATCTATACAGGTATATGCCTTTATTTGCTGAACAGTGTCAATGTAGATGTTACCAGTAAAATGCATGGGCAATTGGATTAATCAGTGACTGCCATATTTGTTGCAAACAAGTATCACCAACATTTATGAAGAGAAATCTCTCCCCACTAACAAGGGTAACTTGTTTTGTTTTTAGTGTGTTGTGTATGTAGAATCACCATTGCAATAATTTTTATTCAAATCACAAAACATTAATCTCAAAATTTGGTTGATGTTGATCATTGTATTTTTGTTTTGTATTAAAAAGATCACAAATAATTTAAGATTTCTTATAATATTTCAGGAAAACAATGTCCAACACCGATTACTTGACCTTTACACTTCCAAAAATATGTCAATGTCCCTGAAGCTACAGATACTTCATGCTCTCGATCAGACAACACGGCTGCAGGAAGGTCTTCTCTGGTTTACAGCCACCCATCCATCCAAAAACCCAGCCCAGAGACAAATTTGCAAACCAGACAAAAATGGTGAAGTAAGGAATGATTCCAAGGGGGATAATGATTATCTGAAAGACAACGATGATGCTGAAAATATGATGGATGAAACTGAGGACGATGTTGACACTGTAAAGTCTGAAATAGAAGAGTACAGTTGTTATCAAAGATTGGTTCAAATTATGATGAAACGAGAGGTACTTCCTTCATTTATTTATTATTCACCAGAAGCAGAAGACTTGTTAAGCCGCCTGTATCTGTCTATTAAAGAAAACTTAACATTGGGATCATGAGTCATCAAGCAGGTTTTGAATACACAAAGTTAGATTATATTATTTACATTTGAAGAGAATAATAGGTTTTTTTTTTTCTGGTTTTTTTTTTTTAATGTTTTGATCAATTTTTGGTTATGATGCCAAACTGCTTATGAGCACTGGAGTGAACTTTTTGGCATCAAGTTATATTGAGTCAATTGCTAAGTCTGCTGCTATGAAAGTTGATTTACTATGTTGTGCTAGACAATTTTTCTTTCCAGAATCTAGCAGTTTTATTCATGTATTGAATATTATTGCCACATCTGGTCTGGTGCTTCTTCTATGTATCTAGAAACTCTTGATAAAATCCAAAGAAGAATCTGCAATGTTATTGGTTCTGACCTGGCATATCAGCTTCAGTAACTATCCCACTGCTGTAATTGTCTTGTCTGTGCTGGTTGTTCTGACAAGGTTTCTTTTTTGGTACCTCAACTTTACAAATTTGTGTAGTACTAGGTTGGCAGCTAGGTCTCATTTTACTGCTGAAATTTCTAGATGCAACTATAATAGTTTCTTCTCTCCCACTTGTGGAACTCTCTTCCAGTTAATAGTTTTCTTGTCAAATACAATCTTCAAAAATTTAAATGCAAAATCAGTCACCATTTTCAGCCTTTTTGAATCCCATTCATTTATTATTCTTTCTACTCAATAACGTTTTCTCAATTTCTTTCACTCTCAGTAGCCCTTGCATCTTTGTGGCTTTATTGCCTTGCTTGAAGTGAAATAATTTAAAAAAAATGTTTAGTATTGTTTGGTGGTAGAATTCTATATATTTTAATATTTTCTGTTATAAAGTTTTAATTGATATTTATTGAAACTGGTAAAACTAACAAAAATGTAGTTACTATTGAATTATTGATATGAATTGTCAAAAACTATTAAAAAAAATTTGTCTAAGCTTACCAAATTCTGGTGTCTTTTTACTTAAATTTTAGATTGTACGTGTTGCTGTAGCAGGAACTGCATTATTAAGAAAGATTCACACATTTGAAGTTCTTTGTAACTTCTATTTAACTGTTGAACAGTAAGTTTTTTTTTTTTTTTTTACCTATCATCTACATCTTTTACTTTTAAGGCAATAAAATAGTTTCTAAGTAAATCATTTCAAATACTTATTTTTTGCTTTAAAACAGTCTTACAAGAGACATGTTCAAAATTCCCACCCCCAAGAAAGAAAGAAAAAAAAAGATTTGAATTAATTTCTTATCTCCTGGAAGATGTATAATGTATTTAAATGACTGATGTAAATGTGATAAGTAAATGGTTAGAAAAAAAATTTTCAGAGTTGGCCATGATTATCTTTCTAAGATTAACAATTCCAGTGTATCACATGGAACATGATGTCTTCATCCAAAACCAAAATGTGTTTAATTACTTAAAATTATAGACAGATTTTGTATTCATCACTTCATAAATTTTATTTTAACTTGCATATTACCATAAAATTTCCTCTTGTTGTTCAGTCATACGTAAAACTTCATTTGAAGATTAAAATAAAATAAATGCTGAAAATGCTGATCATTTTCTGCTTTGATTTTTCCATGATATAAACTATAAATAAATTACTGCTGAGAAATTCCTATTTACAACTATTATCCCAAATGTTGCAGCAGCTCCCACCTCTGTTACTCAGAGATGCTTTAATTTACAAATTAAGCAGAATAATTCATAAATCTCTAGTTTATCAAATTCCAAGAATCTTAACCAAGATATTTGTCTTGGAGTTTGCTTAAAATTCCTTGGAGCTGGTTACATACTAATTTTTATCAAATAATTTGATATATAAAATGGTTTTCTCAAGCAAGCAACAAAGAATTATCACCACTAAATGGTTTTGAATATTTAACAAAGTGAAAATCCTTTTTTTTGTTTCCAGATTGATTGATAACATGGCTTGCCTTGAAGAAAATGATGTAAAGATGGAAAGTGAAGATAGTGTTAATGGAGGTGCTACTGATGAAAATGAAGTTGATCCGATTGTGTCAAATGTGAACAACATTAGTGACGCTAATGCCGACTTACTTATCACCTATCTAGATGAAATAACAAAAGTTGTGACCAGGGCTCCATTTCTAATTGTAAATACTTTGTTTCTAGTTTTATCTTCTACTTATCTTCTGATCTTGCTCATTGAAATAAGCATTTTGGGAAGTATGTCTTTTCTTTTTAGCATGATCATGTTATGATGATGTTATAAAATTTAGTTATTTTTAAAATGGCTTCAATAGTTGGTCAGTTGAAAAGAGGAATAATATTGAATGGCAAAATTTCAATATGCTTGTTGATGATCCTGCATCAGGGAACAAACTTTTGTCAGATTAAGCTAATGTTAGTGAATTGATCACAAAAGCTACACAAGTCAAGTGTAGCTTTTGTTGTGTAAATTGTATATTGAAGAGGAACTATACAAAACAATTTCTCTACTAAGTAAGAACTTTTATATAAACAAATAAAAACAGAACAAACTCTGAAAACAGAGTTACTTGAAGGTTAGCCTTGGATTGCCATAATTTATATTGTTGTAATGGATGTGCAAGTAATAAATATAAACACAGAAAGTGGAATCAACAAACCAGGTTTGAATGGGTTGAAAGGCATGAAACCATTTCTTCTTCCTCAGCTATTGCTTAAATAGCAGTGTATATTTGACTTTTGAAGCTGTTGAGAAGGAATATTTTGAATTAAAAATGATACAAAGGCAATGGGGAAACTCTGTGCCATTTTCTCAAGATGACATGGCATTTCATAGATAATAAAGAAGTAGAATCTGCAGAAAGCTTATTATTATTATGATTACGCCTACATCCCGAAAGGACATGGCATTTAATAAAAAAGTTTATGTATTAATTGTATTTTTAGGCAATCTATATATATATATATATATATATATACTTTTCTATTGCTTTAAATGTTATTTGAACCATCTAATTTTACTAACTTCAGGCCCAGCCTAGACGATCACTACCCGGCAATCTTATATTTGAAATTCGCCAACACCCTCATGATATTTATCCGAATCTCTATGCAATGTGCTACTCATGGTAAGTGATGGTAATTTATTCATATATAGGCACATATTTATGTGGATATAGTAAATTTTTTTGTTAACTGTTAAATGTATAGAATTTTTACACTTAACAGAATGTATGAAATTATGCATTAATATAAATGAAAATCTTATAAAAATAGATAAAAATTATTTTATGAATAAGATTTTCTTTTTTTTTCCTTACAAATTAGACTACTTTAACTTATTTTGATGGTAGATCTAAATATAATATAATTTTAAGTATCCTAAACTAAAAATAATAGTAATGCACTGTTTTTATGGTAGAGACTAATTTCTTGATTTGTAGTTCACCTTGAGTATATACGTATGATCCAATTTAATGATGTAAAATTCTACTATGAAAGAATTCTTTTAGATGTCACCATTGTTTTCTTTTTTTTTTTTTTCAGTCAACTACTTGAATGTCTTTTTGTCCTACTCTCATCCCCTGCCACAGTAAATCATTTCGGACTATTTGTTGCTATTCGAGATTTTTTTCATCAGTTGCTGGACACTCAAAGAGGACTTTTATTTCTTTGTGCCAGACCGGACACAACTAATGGAATCTTGCGAGTCCTTACTCAAATGGGGGTGCGTATATATATATTTAAAAAGATGGTATACATTGTGAATGTGATAACACAAGTGAAACAGTTACTGATAATTGTTTTTTTTATGAAACTTTTCCTCATTATATTTTATATACAAGGGTCATTCTAAAAGTAATGCATTTGATTTTATTATGTTGGTTCAAAATATCAGAGGTAGATGTTGGTGGTATGGCAGTAGAGGTTGAATTTTCTTGTCTGTAACCTATAATTATTTTGCATTGTTACAGAAAGCAATTAGACAAAATAGCATCCGACATGAAACAGCTGTGCTATATAATTCTTTCATGAGGAGAAAATTGCACGTATTGATATTCTTATATGTTTATGGAAATCAAAGAAGAGATGTGAGCACCAATGGTAGGTAATGCATTTCAGCAGTGACAACAACAATGTATATGACAACTGCTGTTCAGGGCACACCTCTGTACAACTACAACCCACACCACACCCTGTAACTATTGTTGTTTCTGTGGGAATAGAAAGCATTACTATTGGAGTAACTTGTGCATTTACAAAATGGTTAATGATTTACACTTTTTTGTGGATAATTTATTTGGGTTTTTATTTGTTTTTAATTTTTAGGATTATAACAGAGAAGACAACAGTGAAGATAATCCTGCTCAGCTGTTGGGATTACAGCTTACATATCATCTGCAGACTTTACAGTATGTTGACCAACTGGCTGATTACCACAGAAAAGGTCAGTCTTGATTTCTGAAGGAAAAAAAAAATAAGGATAGAAATATTAAAACAACAATTGTAGTTTTCTGTTTGATTATTTGTTAATAAAGAGAAATAAATATGAAAGGATGACTTGTGACTCTTAATGAAATGCTAAAGGTGATTCTAAACAATATAAATTTGGATAATCAGGTTTATTTTTTGATATTGAAATAAAAATCATTTCATCAAGTAACTGTCTCTTAGTTAAACATAATTGCCTTTTGATTATACATGTTTATATTATCTAAATCCTTTTTATTTTCAAAGATATTTATTATTATCTTAAATTAGGTACCTCCACAAAATCGCTAAAAAAAGAGCATAGCTTGATGAAAAAGACGCCAAACTTGCCGAAAACTAAATTTTATTGTCTAAATGCTTATGTTATTATTAAGAGGAAAGACCAAAGTTTTTTTTAATTATTTTAAAAAAATTTTCCTTCTTTTAGAACATTCTAATTTTGATTAAAAAAACTTTTTTTTTCTATTTGTATCAGCGGAACTAGTAAATAACATTTATTACGTTTTTTTTTTTTTTTGGTATGACACACATTAATTTGAAAATCGTGCAAAAATAGAAATAATTATCGGATGTTAATGAAACTTTCAGAAACTATTCACAGATGATCGAAATTATTATAAATATGTTTTTTTTTATGAAAGTCATGGTAGAAATATTTTTTTTAAATATTTATTACCCCCCTAACTAATTTTATGAAAATGCTAGAAATTCGATCGCATCGGTTTTAGTGATTACAATAATTAAAAGCACAGGGCTTTGAGGAATGCAAATCATGTTTTTTTTGTTTTTAATTGGATCGCAGTACCTGAAAATCAGCTTTGAATTGTAACATACAAAACTCAATAAAACAAATATATTATTTAATTTCAAATGCTTTTATTTGCTTTTAGTTGTTTTTATGAATATGGACAATATTTTCTGAAAGCAAAAAAAAATTTTTTCGATGAAAAATGAATTTTTAATACAATTATTTGTTATTTCATTAATTATAATAGATTTTACATTTAAGTTGTTAAAATATTATAAAATTAGTTAAAAAAGCAGATCGGCTTTCATAAGTGTCCTTATGAGATAGATCTTTTTTTTAGCGTTGTAAATTGTATCATTTTGACTAATCAGAAGATCCCCAGTAATTAAGAAATGTAATTTTGTGCTTATAATCGAGCTGTAATTATAAAATACAGAAGACCAACCAGAATATAATTAAGTTGCGTTATTTGAGTTAAGCATTGTTCTCCGCTGTTAAGGCCTTTACTTTTGCGAAACACGTGTGAAGTTAATTTGATTTTTCAATTTCAACTGAGAAGGGTACCTACAAGTATCAGTATCATCTTATGAAATTTATATGATCGTATTTTTATATTAATCTCAATTATGACATTTTTCCATAAATGAAATATCAAAATTAATAATAAAATGAATGCAAATACAAATAACAGTAGAATGTAATAAATGTACATAAAATTATAGTATTTTATGTACAATTCTGATAAAATTTCATAAGAAAGGTACCTATAAATTAATTAGATACCTTTCTTAAGAAATATGAAATTTAATGTCACTCTTAACAGTTTTATTTTAATTACTTTACAATATATTTTCCATAAAGCATCATAAACGTAAAGGTGAAAGCTAAGTACAAAAAAAAAAAAAAAAAAATTAGACCGCTGAAAGTTTTCGTTAAAAATAACGGGGGTAAATAATTTGTTCACGTAAATGTAAATTATTTCACTTTTCTCCTTCAGTAGAACAAATTAGCCTCATGGAATTCGTAAATATATCATTCATCACATGTCAAGAAACGAAAGTTTATGACCTGCTTTGTTTTATTTTCAAATTACATCTTTTTGGCACAAAAGCTAAGTTAAGTTTGGTTCAAAATATTTTAAATAAACATTATAATTTCTGATTTTCTTAAAATAAGTTTTGAAAAAATGATAATTGATATTTAAAAAAATTTCAAAGTGAGATTTCCAGTTTTTTTTAAAATGGAAAAAAATGGTCAATTTTACTGACTCAAAAAAAACTAGATTTTTAACAAAAATTTCGGACGTGCTAGGAACGATTAAAAAATGGAAAAAAATACCCCAAAAATACTTTGACCCTTCCTCTTAATAATAACAAACATTTAGATGATAAAATTTTGTTTTCGTCAAGTTTGGCGTCTTTTTCATCATGCTATGCTCTTTTTTTAGCGATCTCGTGGAGGTACCTATCTTAAATCACATTTACTGGAATCGTTTTGGATGATTACAATATCAAAAATTGATCTGCTATTGCCAATTTTGTTTATTTTGCAAGTTTCAGAAAAATAAATCAATATTTCAAACATAAAAATCATGTTTTTTTACAAAATTCTTAAATGCAATTATATGAGTCCCATTGACAGAATAAATAAGCAAGATTAATTGGAACAGGAAAAAATGAATTCTTTATAAATTGTTTACATAACCAGTGCATTTTACAGTAAGCAAATATTCAAATCAAACTGTATATTATGAAAGCATAAATGTTAGTTTTTTTAATTCCTCTTCTTTTGTTTGGTTGACTGTTGGTTATTCTACAAGTTTAATTACTTTTGTCTTAGTTGTGATTGTAGGACAGCTTATGTAATTTTCATAAACAAAACTGTTAAAAAAAATTATCCATTTACAATGATTGAATAAAAAATAAAATTTTTCTGCTATATTTCTTTTTATTAAAGTAAACAAAATCTGTTCTTACTTTTATCATATCAGCCTTTTGCATATACCAAATTAGTGTTGTGAAATTCATTACATAAGCAATAGTCAATATCAATGTTTAAAGTAAATTGAAATTAAAAACCAAATGTAGATTTTGTTTTCTTTTCATTAATAATGCTAATATCCAAGAAGAGAGTATATTTCTGGAAGCATCATACAGATGTTTAGGTAATAAGAGAATTTGCTTTAGTTAATCACTTTTTCATGAAGAAATTCTATTTGGTTGGGTAATTTTAAAACTACAACCTCCTCAAAGTTGATTTATATAAGAAGTCGGTGACATTCATTTGATTTTTTTTTTCTCCCTCCTTCTTTTTCTTCTTTTATTTTACTCAGCTTCCCTAGACAAAGACATTGATGATGCTGAGCCTCTTGGCCTTTTGCATAGCATGTACTCAATGACAGTAAACACACTGGGACGAGAATCTGTTGTGAATGTACTTGGACTTGACCAAAATCTCAAAGTTCTTCTTCCTTTTGTTGAACCAACAGGTCAGATTTTTTATTTACTTTCTCTAGGGGGAGGGGTCAGGTGTCTTGTAAAATATTGCATCTAGCTGACCATAAAACATTTACATTATAGGGAATGATTCCCATTAATGAAGTATTACAGAAATTATGAGGAAGATTAGAAAATTAAATTGAGAATAAAACTGAAATATATTTGATTATACTTTTATTTTTTTTATCTAGGAAAGTATTTTTCTATGAGAACAAAAATGTCATCAATCAATGAATATGAATTCATTTTAAAATTACATTGGCTGTTTTCACAGTTTTGATGATTTCTACTAAAACAACAAATTGTTTAATGCATTACTTAGATGAGTTTTTCAAACCTTATAAAAGTGGGTTGAAAGCATCAAAAGCTTGAAACAAATTTATTACTTTCTTCAGCCTGTCTTGCTGCTTCTTTCTGCCGAACAAACCATGTTTCCATTGAATTCTTTTCTTTTTCTTTTTTTTTTTTTTTCTTTTTTTTTAAATGTCATGATTTTGTAGCTCTAGCACATGTTTCTTTTTTATTGGCAAATGTTCATCTGAAGTTGACATTGAATAATTCAGTTGATAAAAATTTGCTGCCATTTTTGTCTACAATAAAACAAAGTCAAATATTTTTAGTAAAGTTATCTTTAATTGTTGAAAGGTTACAAAAATATAAAAACAGTCTTAGATGGAATAAAATAAATGGCTATAAAAACACTTGATTTATGGCTGATTTAAATAATGCACTGATTTGCATCATGTGGCAGTAACTGTAAGTAAAATGATGCACTAAAATAAGTAGCCAATTAATCATTTTAGTTCTGAATATTAGTGCAAAAAAACATGGTGAGAAAAAGCAAAAATTGATATGAAAAGTTCAGCTGTTTTAAGGCAAATTATAGCAGATATGTAATCAAATGTTGAATTTAATGGAAGTTAATTTTTTTAATAATCTTGCTTTCAGAATTGGCACATAATTGTTATTTTAATATTAGCTATGGGTGGAATTGAAAATTTTATATATTATCTATTTTATTTAGTTATTTATTGAGATTATTTTATTTTTTAATATTGATTATTCAGTATTTAAATTTAAGAAAATATATTAACCATATTAGATTTGTCAATGTTTACTCAGATTCTACATTTCTCAGATTGGTATTAATAAATGTTGGTCAAATGGATTTCTATGAGCAAAATATAGTATGTGAGTTTAACATTTATAATATTTATTCTTCTTAAAAATAACTTATTTTGGTGTATCAGGTTTTTATTATGCAAACTATAACAGGAGATATAGACCAGGCCTTATTTCTCTTTTGAGGTTATATCTTTCCTATGCCCAATAGTAATTTTTATATATCTGAAATTAAAAAATATTAATAATTATACTCTTGTGTATTTATTTAAAAAATGATGAACAAACTTACATTTGCATAAAATCTCATGCTGTCAAATAAGTTATTGTAAATATTTCTAATAAAAACTATTATAAGCTGAGACTCATACAAACATATCCTGAAAATATTGTTAACATTGGTAGGTTAGTTGCAATTTTATTATAACATTCTGAAGTAATGCATTAAAATGGGGTGAAGAAATTCTTTCATGATTAAGATCTTCGTTTTATGTCATTATTTTTGTATTGGAATTGTCTTTGAGAAAGAAAATTTTGTTTGCTAAAATATTTAAATAGCTACCAATATTATAAAATCTATGTTGAATGGTGTCTTCTGGTTGGTTACTGGTTGTCATACTAAACTCAGAAGCCCTCTAATTATTTCAGTAAAACAAATTTTCTTTTAATGTTTGTATCTTGTATTTTATTTAAGTTTCATTTGTAAACAGAAAATCTTTCAGATAATATTGAAATGTATCATCTCCACAAACTAATTTATGATTGTTAAATATTCAAATATAGATTAAATAAAAAATAAAAAAAATATATATAGGACATCAGAATATTGAGGAAAGATAATTCGAGTGACAGTTTTAGCAAATTTCAAGTATTCCATTGAATACTATTTGTGGGGATGTTGCTTCTGACTGACTTGTGATAATTTGAGAGAAATAATAAAAGTTAGTTAAGGAAATCATTTAAAACAAACAACTGTTTATAGAGTATGATATTTGATTTATATTCTTCATCTAGGTGATGATATCAGAGACACTCGTTTAAAAAAATCTGTATGTGCTGGTTATGTGACAGAGCTTCTTCTATTGTTAATTCGTCAATCGGAAAACATGGAAATGCTTCAAAGGTTCGCATCTCAACTTCTCGCCATCAGTGAAGATGGTAAGTGCTTGATGAACCCGCCCACTCCAGACCGTAAGTACCCTGTCCTAGCATTTTTTTTCTTTTTATCTCAGGATCATGCACACACATACACAGGAAGGATTATGATTAAATTTTTAAAACATATTTTTCTATGTACTTGATAGGTGAAATGCATTGATACTACAGAAGTGCTGATGAAAATGTTTTGCTTTCATCATATTAATTTGCTTTTCTGTTGTTGCTAACTAGTTCTTGATCTGAAATTTCCATATTTAGGATACTAAAATAATTTGTAGAAACATTAACAGATAGTCAATATGTGATTTGTAAGAGAATATGTAGGATCTCATTTCAAATTTCTTACAGTAATTAATGGCATGCTAATGTGATGTGACTATAGCAAATACTTTAACTTTTCTTTACTGAATGATTTCATGATCTGGAAAATATCTAAACAAAAAAAATTGTACATACACTTTTATTTTTCGAATCTGATTAGTTGGCTCAGTGTGAAAATGACTAACATATAGGAACAAGTTATGAAAAATGAGTTTTTAGAGAGTAGTGATAGTCTATGGTATCTAAAAGAGGAATGAAAAAGAATGAGAACTCAACTTATGAAAATCAATGTAAAGGGACATAACTCTAAAACATAATCTGGCTAGCATATCTTTAAAACGCAAGACGAGATCTAAGCAAAGCTTGTATACGAAGGTGGACAACAATATAAACGCCTTATATTAAACTACAAAATAAGAAGTAAATAAAAATATTTCTACATTTTTCTGTCTCTAATTTTCAACAAATTAAAAATATATATTTAAAGTATTTAAAAAATCATCTTTGGTGCCTGTTTTGTGTTTCAACAACTTCAGGTGAATTTTGTGGATCTACTTTTGCTTGCAATTTGATCTTGGAGCTAATGTCATACTGTCATAATGGTTTTGTCAACTTGTTGGTTAATATTCTTTCTTAAAAAATAAAAAAGGTAAAGAAAGTTTTAAAAATATTAAATTTTTATTTTTTTCAAAATTAGAGATAGGAAAATGTTTTTATTTACATTTTCTTTTTAACTAAAAAAAATCATTTTTACTTTACTGCTTCTAAAGGTTTGAAATGAGTCAGTAATTCATCATTTTTACTTTACTGCTTCTAAAGGTTGAAATGAGTCAGTAATTCTGTTGCTCTTTCTCACTTATTGTCACAATAATGCATTCTTTTAATTTCTAGCATTTTAATTTTCAATTATTTTTAATATCTGGTCCTGTATATATGAAGATGTAATTCATTTCCTAAGTATGAGCACTACTTTTTTAAAAATATGTTTTCAGATTTTTACTATTAATGTGAATAAATTTCCATCTCTCGAGTATACAATCACATGTTTAAAATGTTTCTTTCTGCTTGTTGGCATGTAATGCTAGAGGTAAAATTTATAATTTAATGTCATCTTTAGAAACTTTATTGAAAGTGTTTTCAAACTGCAAAATTGAATCTTAAAACATTTATAGATAGGTTATAAGTAATGAACTATACATTTTATAGTTGTATCTTTTTCCTGATGTAATTTCTTCCTTTATAGAAAGAGTAATGTTTTTAGTTAAGAATGAGTTTAGTATGAACTAGTAATTCTGATGCTGGGAACTTACTTAGTATAACATTTTCTGTTGACTCTATTTGGCTGTCTTACCATTTTGTTTAGTCACCAATCTTGTATCTTGCTATTTTTATTTTTTTTGCTTTGTCTTTTTGTTTTTCTGTTTATTTTCTTCAAAGTGTGTGCATGTATCCTTTTGTTTATTCATTTTTATTTATATCTATAGTCCTTCTTCATAATTCCCTTTCTTCTATTCTCTAGAATCTACATCCAAGCTTCAAGAACTACAAGAGTGGCTAAATCCAACCAAGAAGGTACCCATTTTTTCACATGAAAGTTTGCAGCCTCTCATATTACAGTTGAAGATGTATGCTGATGATATCCTTAAATTGCCTAGAGGCCTCATTACAGTAATGCGTATTCTTAATTGGTTGGCAGTCCCTCCTGATTGCAAATATACACAAGGTAAGTGATATATTTTGTTTCTTACTAGGATTGTCTGATAAAATTTTGCAAAGGGCATTTTGCTATTAGTCGTTATCATATTTTTGAATTTATTTGGATCCTTTACCAATCTGTTTGTTTTCATATATGTTTGTTATTGTAGTCATAGTCCAATTTAAATATGTGAAGTGTGGCAGCTATAAATCTCCTTCCTCTCCCCTAGGCAAGAATAGGGAAAGGCTGTCCATATTCAGTTTGATGACAACACATTTGAGTACTGACCATGACTATATGACTTTAGAACAGTTATTGACTCTGAATAGTGTGTTCCATCTCAGGTTTTTGAGGAAATGTTTTTGGTTTGTGAGGAAATGTTTTTGGTTTGTGAAACATTGAATTAACATTAGATATATTTGATTAGTTTGAATTGTCAGAGCTGATAACTTTTTTCCTAGAACTGTAAATAAATAATCACCTGATCTACATATTTGTTTATTTTCTTTATAAGAATTGAAATGTTCTTATGGACATTAAATGTGTCTGCATATTAGCTATAAGCTGACATTTTAGGAAATAAGCAGTTTTGTTTAAAATCCAATGTGAATTTGAAGATAATATCTCTAGCAATTCTATAATGCTATTTATCAATCATCTATGATAAAATTGCTGCAGCAGCATTTTGCTCTAAAACTGGAATTTCTTGTTCTGTAACAAGTTACATAATATTAGGATTTCCTTGGCAAAGAAATAAAAAAAAAATATGATTCTGTGAGAACTTTGGGAAATTTTTTTCTATAGTCTCTTGATATTTTGTTTTAGCATTGTTTTTAAAAAACCTAAAACCTGAATTTCTTTAGTGATGAGACCCCCCAGAAGAAAATGTTATAAATTTTAACTACTTATTGTTACTACAATATTCTTATTTGCTAAAAGATAATGTTACAATTTGCACTTTCTTTATTCTATTTGAAAAAAAAGCTCTATTAGCTTTTTAGTAATTAATATTATCTGTTTAATGCATTTTATGTTTAATGCATCTCTTAGAACTTAAATACAATTTTACTTCAATGAGAATTTTATTTATAATGGTGCAATTTTTTCTTTCAATTCAGTTTACTTATATATATATATATATATATATAAAACAAACTTGATAAAGATAAATAAAAAGTATTTATTGATAATTACTATTAAATGATATTCAATGTTTGTTTTGTTCTGAACTACTTTTAACTATCAGTTGCGCATTCTCCTTTTGATAAAATCAATAAATGAATATTAATGAATCTGTTTTGTTTACAGAAAAACCAATTGAATTGAAATACAAATATGTCGTTATTGAATTGTTAAGTGCAGATTGTTTCCCATTATTTACCAGTTTTCTTCAGGTAAAGTTATCACAGTTTACCTTTATTATTACTTATTTGATGCCTGGTGATGAAAAAAAAAAAATCTAACAAATGAATTTATTTTTCTTTATAATCTTTTTCCTTGTTAATGCAACATTAATATTTCAGATCAAAGTTCAACTAATAACTCTAAGCTACAGACTTATTGATCCTACCTCATACTATTTAAAATAAAAATTCTATTTTTATCTGTTTCATTATCTGCTCATCTTTTGAATGCCAAATGTGACATGTTTTTTGCTTAATTTAAAGAAAAAAAATTTGATAGTTAAAAATTATTGAAATTTTTTTTCATTAAAATTGATGTTTTAGATTGAGTATAATTTAGTAATACTATTTTATTTTGATATTTATGAAACTTATTTTGTACTCTTAGCAAAACTGTAACTGCCTCTAGTGTATATACTGCTATAATCTTTGTAACATTTCTCTTACAATTTATATATGAATCCTGCTACTTTATTTATGTAACATGAATACGGTCATTCTAATTATAGATAAAATATTTTATAAATAATTTCTGCTATTTATTATGCTGCATTCAGATGTTACTGGAAAAGTTTTTCTTTTATTATAAAACAGAATTATAAAAGTACAAAGGGATTTATTTGTACTTTAATTACAAATTAATCTAAATAATGTGTTTGGGGAGAGAAATCTTAGCTGACTTCACCTTCCATATTTTGGGATTATTTTTGATTTCTTTGTAATCTAATTTTGATACAACCTTGTGAATTTCTTGTTAAGAGTTTCTCAAGTTTTTTTTTATCTTTAGAAACTTTTAAAAAGGTATTTGTGTTCATTTTTTCATTGTTTAATACTGAATTTAGTTTTGATATTTTACAGAAACTCACTGAATGGCTCCAACGACCATGGCAACAAGGTATTCCCCAGAGTAACAGTCAATTGTTTCTGGTACTTGCTATTCTCAAACCAGCTCTCAGTATCATTCACACAACCTTAGCTGTCCTTATAATGTCAAGAGGATCTGAGGTACATCATTCAAGGATTTATTTTTATTTTTCATTCTTTTAGACTTCATATTACTGACATTTACTTTTTAGGTCATTATTCACAAAGTAATGAAGCAATTCATCCTAACAGGGCATGTGTTAAAAAGAAAAAAAATCAAGATTCCATTCATTGAACTTTGCTCTAAACTGAATTAAGATGAAAGAATTTTTACCTGGGAAAACAGGGAAAGTGTTATGAGAGTAAGTTTTAGTTACTCTATCTGCTATTACTATAGAAATTAATTATTAACACGCAATAAATTTTTTTGAATAATTAAAAAAAAAAATAAAGGCCAATATAAAAATGTTTTTTAAAGCAAAAACTTTAGTATAAATTAATTATATTGCTTAATTTAACAACTTGAGTACTTTGTGTGCGTGTAAAAAAAAAAAAAAAAAAAAAAAAAAAAAAAAATTTTATAATTTTATTAATGTTGCCATAATAGTGATTAGAATCAGCAAGAAAAATGACATCAAAAGTAAAGCAGATAGACAACATTATTAAGATGGTTGAAAAAAAATAATCAACCCAGTGATTATTTTTTTTATTAATTTTAAATATGAGCAAATTTCTTTTCTTTCAAAAACCTTTTAGTTTTAAAACAAAGGATGATTACAGATCTGAAAAACATGCCATTAATAAACAAAAGCCATACTTCATTTGTTAATAATTCTATGTTAATTAACTGTTATGGGGCCCCATTTTGTCCTACTTCTTTATGCTTATACTATAAAATACAAAATCTAACTTAAAATGATGACTTAAATCTGTAGTACTAGATGCCCTTTTTACCATACGAAAAGCTCCCATTCACCAAACACTTTAGATTTTGTAATAATAGAATGGAACTTTCTAGAAGTCTCTAGAAACTTCTATTGGGTTCTAGAGGGTTCAAAAAACATGTTTAAACAGGAGTTCATACCCACTAGCCAGTTGCTTCCTAAACCCACAGCCATGACTATTGAGGTTGACTCTGGTCCTTTTGATTCAAGAACAAAGCTTTGACCGAAAGAATCTAAATTCCTACAGTCCTTGAAAAGAAAAGACTAACATTAAATACTTCACCCCTTTCCTTGATATTATTGACCAAACTTTTTTTTATATATATATATATATATATATATATATATATATATATATGTGAATTAATCAAACTATTTTTAAGAAGAAAATAATATAATTCTTGGACTAGCAATGAATTCCCATCTGTCGCCTTAATCTTAACAACAGTGGATTTCCTTTTCCACGCCCTTGTATAGTTACACGTTAAGCCAACTAATTTCTGGGCTCTTGCACGCTTAATAACTTGTTAGCATTTACTAACTTATATTGTTTTAATCCTCATCCCTATTGTTCTAAGATATCTTGTATTATATGTAAAATAAAAGCTGCATTTTGTTACTAAATGTAATCTCTTTTCTTCAACCTTAATTTCTACGAAGCTGGTTCTTCTTTTTTGTGTTGCGCCAGCCATAACATAATATTTTTCATGTGTGGAAGTCATTTTTGTGGTTGGTTTTTATGTACAATCATACAATTTAAAAAAAATTCCAATGGAACAATATAGTTAATTAATAGATAGAATTAGAAATTCTGGTTGATAAAGTAAAGGGTAAAGAGAAATGTAATTTCTGATAAAAGTAATTTGACCCTAGGATTAAGATTTGGAATTCAGTAGATATGCAGAGTTTTTTGTTTCCTTAATAAATTGCCTGAACATTTAAGATTTCAATTAATCAATCTTAATCTTAATACTTTAAGAAAATCACTTTGTAATGAAATATTGAAAAGCATATTTTTCTCAGCTGGCATTGTCTTTTCTTTCATTTATGCTGGTGTGCCTGAAAGAAAATGAAATGGTAAATCAATTGAAGTGTTTGCTTGAGACAACCACAGTTCTGTTGTCATTGATGTTGATTTCCTTAAGAATACAACTGACTTATTCAAAATGTGAAAATATGTGTGGTAGAAAAAAAGTGCACAATGTAAATTATTTTCTCATTATGAAAATTCTATCAGGCTATTTTTAGAAAATACTCTTGCTTATTTAGAATAAAATTTTCTTTTGTTCTTTCAGTTCCGTGATCTCACAGCTCTCCCAATTCTGTTTGAACTCCACGCAGTACTGTGTTCTGTACCAAGTGCCACTCCTTATTTAAATGACATTCAGCTCGTATGTATATGAAATTTTCTAAACCTTTTTTTAGTAGTATCATTGTTATTATTATAAAATAGTAATTATATCTATTTTGCATATAATATTTATTACCTTGATAATTGTTAAGATAGTTTTCTGCAATAGCTGTTTAGCCTCACATCTGGTTGTTAACTTCAGTTATAAAATAGTTGTGCAACATTTACATTTATATTTACAGGAATAATTTATTTGTGCTCTGAAATGTCCAGTGTTTAATATATCATGAACTCTCCTGGTGAGCCAGTGGAGAAGTAGGGTGGTTTTTGTATTTTTACAAAGTTTCTTGTGTACAGGTAAAGTTCTTTATTGACAACTCTAACAGATATGGTTTGATTCTGTTTACTGGCTTCTATTTGTGCATCTGTTATATCTAATGTAGTAAGAGTTACATGTTTTTGTGTTTCCTTGTCATTTTGTTTCTATCAGATTTTATGTCAGTATTACTTTGCATGTCTAATCATGTGGAGAATTTGATTGCTAAGATCAATGGGAAATATGAAGATTATAGCTATCCTCTATCGATGAATTAATATTACTTCTCTTATGAATGTCTTTTTATTTAATATATGTGCTGTTACACATATTTTGCTAAATAATAATATTATTGAAATGAAAGTTTGTGTTTTTAAGAAAATTATTAATAATATGAGAATGACATTTTCTTAGAATGTTGATTGAATTGTTAAATCTAAAATTTAGCAATGAAACTGCAAATAATATATCAGATACTCTTTGTGCTGCAACTATTTTTGATGTATGAGTTACTATTAAACTTTATTTTACAGTATAAAAGTATGAAATCAACTTTGAATAAACTTCACTGACATTTTGGTCATAAATTGATTTTTCAATTTCAGATCCAAAGATCAATTATTGATACACTTCTTTCTTTCACACAACCCATTCTGATGGAAAATGAAGAAGGTAAAGTTTGTTTTATATCCTATAGTCTTTATTATCTAATGAAATATTTCTTGAAAATATTATTTTAGTATATTATTTAGATATGCTATGCTGCTGAGATCTGACACTGAATTGCACCATTCTTTTAAATATACTAAAATAATTTAAAATTTTTATTGTTGAAAAGAAAATAGTTGTGGTTGGTTTGGAAAAAAAAACAAAGAACACTTTCTAGCCAGATTTAAATGATTTTGGTTAAAATCTGGGAAGTTCATTAAAGAACTGACAAAAGAAGTAACTATTAAAGAAAATTGCTCAACTGAATTGTTCTTTGCTTTTTTACTAAAATACCATTTTAAAAAAAAAAAAATTGTAAGTTGATATGCATTGGGGTGATGTGTTAAATTTTGTCTACTCTTTTATATGTCAAATCAGCATTAACTTTGTGTTGTTACAAGTTATGAACTTCCATATATGCCAATTAATACATTTTAATTAGCAAATATTCAGCTGATTATGAACAGGTGATGAAAAAATTTTCATTGTTTCATGTTATTCTTCCCGAATTAAAATAACCTGTAATTATTATTTTATTTTTTACCTTGTGTTTATTTAAATTCATTGTTGCATCTCAAATATCTTCATTATTGTTAGAATATATGTATTGATATTTTACTGGATAATGATTTATTTTTCCAATTTTTTTTCCCTTTCAGGACTCAGCCAGAGTTTGTGGACGCTGATGATGAAAGAATTATTGAAGCACACCTTGACATCGCCATATCGTTATCTCAGTGGTCTACTACTTTTGTCTGATCTTCTGCCATTGCCTTTACCTATACAAATAAAAGAAGTTAGTGTTTCATCAGAACTTTAAATATTCTGCAGGATGAAGTATTCAGCTAAAAGAAAATTTTTTTTAAATTAATAGTGTGTGTAGAATTAGAACACATTAGAATTAATGAAATCTTGAAAACAACAATAGAAATCGAGCCTAACCCACCTGAAAAAGACAAAGACCAAAATAAGAACCATTAAGGAGCCAACCTCAACTTGAGAAGATACAAAGGGTTTGCTAATAATCTAGAAATTACCAGTAAGAAATTGGTCTGGAATCCAGTCCCAAGACATCAGACACACATAACTTCACCATGACTTCCAAGTTTCATACTATGAAGTGATCATTATACAATTCATAAAACAACACTTCATGACTTTGATGTCACTGAAGTTTTTGTCTCTGACATTTTCAGATTGGATTATATAATTACTATATTATTATTATACTTTTTTTTTTTTAATGATTTGAGTATTGTAAGATTGCACATATACATACATACATATGTGGTGGCTGTTGACTTGCAAAGTGAGTATGACCATCACTAACATGTCCAGTCCTTCACTTAAACCCCACAAACACTGCATTCATCAGTTGTGTGAATGACAGCGAATCATAAAACCAACCATTGATCTGCATTTCTTTTTGCATATGTGGCATATCAAATTATCTCCAGGTGGTTGAAGGAGACATTGATCATCATCATCACTTCCAATGTGCCTTTTCATATGCCTTGTCACACCCTAGAGCAGGTCGGGCATTCATATCATACCATTACAAAATCGTCATATACAATAGACTGTTGATACACTATTTACATTATTTGGATTATTGTCCTCATCTTTGTCACCATATTTATTATAACGTTTCGGCTGTTGTACACTCTGGCCTTCTTCAGGTGGTTGGAATGTCGAACTGAACCCTTTATTTCACTCACTGGGGTAGACTGTTCTAGTTCCACGTGCCATGTCAGTTATCTCCTGTTAATTTCACTCCACCACCTTAACCAAGTATTGACCTCACACTCTTTGGGTCTTGTCACTGGATCTAACACCTTTATCCACTGTACCATGGCACTGGCACTCCTTATTACTGGTTCCCATATTGTATTCATTTCTATGCTTGGTTGGCTCAGGAGATTTTTGTGGCCTAGCATATGTGCTGGTTCCTTAAGTTTATGAATTTTCCAATGGTGTTCTTTGTCTATGATCTCAACCTGATCCTACAGAGGGCAGTGATCCTCCTTTTTATCTCTATATGTGGTCATCCATACCTGATTTTTCCACTTCCCCTCATGTTACAGCTTTCTGGTGTTCTTGAAGCCTTACCTTAAGGGGGCAGCCTGTCTCCCCTTTATATTTCTTTCCGCAGCCATGTGAGATAGCATACACACAGTCTTTAGTCATGTTCTCCTCTAGTGTACATAATACCTCATCTCAGAAATATAGACAGATATTAGACTGTTGATGTTAGTGTGACCACTGGTGACTGAGCAGACCCACCCTGGACAGGCATATCCGATTGCATTGGGCACATGGCCAGGTTGGCACCTAGTGGCAATTCAGGGATCCTTTCTGAACCACTCTCTTCAGTTCTGCACATTTTTGTGCTGCCTCATGGAAGATGTAGATGCCATCACCAATACCAGCTCTCCAAGAAACCCAGCTAGAGTCTCCCAGTTATCCAGACCAATAACACATTTGTATAGTGATTTTTAAGGCAATCTTTGTAACGATGTTTGGGCTTGTGCTGCATTTTTTTCCCTTTCCAATTATCCATACAATATTTGTTTTGTCATTTGCCATATGGGCAACATGGCCCGTCCATCACAATTTGTCTTTGTATATAAGTGCTTCCACAGAGATTGAATTAGCCCTTTGTAGAACAGCATCATGTGCGTGAGACATCTAGTGGATTTCAAGTACAGAGCGAAGGCAGTGTTGATCAAAACATTACAGTATCTTCAGATGTCTGTGATAGACTACCAATGTCTCACATGAATATAGCAGAGATTACATAATGCAGGCATTATATATATTAATTTTTGTCTGTTTTTTATGATCCAGATACGGATATTGAGTGCTTCAAATGCATCAGAGGCCTTCTTAATCCATAACACTATCTCATCGTCAAGAGAACAGTGGTGGTTGAGGGTGCTACCAAGGTATACAAATTTGTCTACAACCCCAAGTTGACTGCCATCAACATAAATTGATGGCTCTATATACTGAATTCCTTGGGCAGGTTGATACCTCACTAGTGTTTGTCAAGGCTGATAGACAGTTCAAAAGCTTTACATGACTCTGATTATCAATACATGAACTCTTGTGCATGCTGAATTGTGTGTATCAGGTCACAGTCATTGGCATAGAGAAGGTTGTGTACTAAACTCAAAAAGACTTTTGTCCTTGCTGCAAACCTATGTATGTTGAAAAGTTTGCCAGATGACATGCAACTTTATCATAATACCATCATGGCAGTCCCTGAACACATCAAGCAGTACAATTACAAAGTAGATAGTAAACAGTGTAGGAGCCAGAAGATCTCCCTGTTTGATTCCATTTTCAACCTTAATAGGCCCCATAAGCATACCACCAAAACTGACATACAGTTATGGAAGGACCTCAGAATCAGTAAGAAAGTGGGGGGACAGCCCAATTTTGAGAGGATCTACAGGAAACCAGCATTATTAAGTGTCAAAAGCTATTATTTGTCAGATCTACAAATAGTTGATAAAGGTCAATTTGTTGTTCACAGCTCTTTTCTGGATTTGTTATGCTGTGAAAATAATATCAGTGGTCCCTCTGTGTTGGCAGAAACCACATTATAACTCGGGCAGTATATTGTCAACCTCTTCTCTGGTTTAATCTTAATAAGAGAACAGAGGCTAAGATCTTACCTGCCAAAGAAAGGAGTGCAATTCCTCTATAATTACCACATAATTCCCGGTCACCTTTACCCTTATATTATATATATATATATATATATATGTATCATTGTTGCATCCCTCCAATCTTTTGGCACTTTTCCATCTCTCCAAACCTTTACAGTAAGATGAAACATAAGTTGACCTAAATGTATTCCACCATAATGGAATATCTCAACAGGAAGGCCATCAACTCTAACATCCCTGCCCATGTTGAGTCTCTCTATACCACGCAGAACCTTGCCCAGCGATGGTTGGCTGTCAAGTTTTACCACTATGGGTCTTTGGGGTATTTTCTCAAGAACCTCAGTGTCCACATTTGAAGGTCTGTTCAGTAGGCCATCAAAGTGTTTCTTCCATCTTTTATCTATGTTATCCATGTCTTTGAGGAGATCATTGCCATTCTCTGTCCTGAGACAAGCAATCTTGTTTTAGTGATTTCTGCATTTCCAGGGAGTGCAGTTTTGTGATATTCCGACATGCAGGAGGCTTTTCATCATTTTGTTTAGTTGCTGGTTTAAGAACAAAGATCATCTTGACCCTCACTAGGGAATGATCAGTTCAAGAACCTGCACCATGCATAGATCTAACTATCTGGACATCCTGCATATCTCTCTTGCAGACAATGACATAATGAGATGCCACTGGCGTGAATTGGGATGCCTTCATGATCACCCCTGTGCTTGAATTGAGTACTGGAGATGAAAAGATTAAACTCAGTACAAAGTTCAAGGAGTGTTGATTTTCCCTACAACATATTTCCCAAAACTACTCCAGGTCTCCCAATCTACACCAACTCCTTTGCGTTGTCGTCACTGAGGAAGACAATCTTGTCATCTTTTGGAATCTTGTATAGTACACCTCTCAAGGACTCCTAGAATTGGGCCTTTAAAGTGCTGGTACTGTCCATTGTTGGAGTGGAGGCACTAATGACTGTAGTGTATCATGATCCATTGAGATGTAGGCAAAAGGTCATTAAACATTCATGGACTCCTTTAGGAAGTTCAGCAAGCCTTGGCATAAGTGTGCTACATAAAGTAAAACCCACACCAGCTACTCTATCTTCCTCAGCAAACTTTCCCTTTCAGAAGAAAGTGTAGCCACCTCCAACTTCTTGAAGTTGACCATCACCAGCTAAATGAGTTTCCGAGAGAGCATCTACATCTATAAATTATCTCTGTAGTTCCCTAGACACCAGAGCTGTTCTGCATTCAGGATTATCTATGAGAGTCTGTATGTTCCAATGAGATAGTATTTTGTGCTCAAACTAAAAAGTAAAAGAGAAACTAAGAATGAAACAGAATCCTTAGTTTCTCTTTTACTTTTGTTCTAGGGCAAAATAGACATCCGACAGATGCACTATATTAGCCAGGTCATCAGCTATGTTGCTCCATCACCATCGGACTTGAATTTAAAAAAAACCAAAAAACTACAAGCTAGTAAGTTTTCAGTAATGCCCATGCAGGTTTTAAGGTTGGATGCAACTTGAACAGCACTGCATCGACCCTCACCCCAAAACCACATTGTCCAGAGACAAGCAGTTGCAAGATAGCTAGTCGCTATGAGGCAGGTTTTCTTCTAGAAGACTGCCAAAAGGCTTAGGAAGTCCCACCCCCAGTGGGCTAACCGTGCATCTAGATACCAGCCAAAATATTTCTATGGCCTTGTGCAGAGATTGTTAGATAGACATTGACATCTCAAAGACTTTGACAGGTCTTATTTTTATCCTGCAAGTTTTCTAGCCACCCTCCTCACCAGTTAGGCCTGGTGGGGGAACCGGTTTAGTCACTAATTGCCTGACTGTGCAACAGGCAGTACTAGCTTATATGATACCAGTAGCATCCCATCAGAATGACATGACATATATATATATATATATATATATATATATATATATATATAGGCACCTGCTTAGATTTGAGCATCCTCTCTCCCTTTTCCCTTTCTCCTGGTGGCATTGACAGAGATGATGTCATTTGTGTGAATTTGATGGGGGGGACAACTGAGTGCAACGGAAAAGCCCACACACTTGGCCAGGGGTGCTTCCTTCGCAGCTCAGGGGCTTGAGACAGACGAGGTCTGGCAAACATGCTTGCACTGGGCTGTTGGGTGCTTGGCCTGTCAAGGTCTGATTGGTTATGCCATCCCAAATGGTGCTGGCCTTTTCTGGCAGTTTTATATATATATATATATATATATATATATATATAGGATTAATGTGAATAAAAGTTTGTCACTTGGCTGATTGATGTTACCTTCAGCATCTTGACTCCAGAGTTTCATAGATGGACCTGTCCATCCACTCTTCATGGGGCATCTGCAATTTATTTACTTATATATATATATATATATATATGTATATATGTATGAATGAAGAAGAGAAGAAAAATTGCATTTGAAAATAAGTGAATAATTAAAAATTTATATTTATTTTCTTTTCATTATTGGCCATGTTTTACGTTCTTTTTATGATTAAAATCTATGAAGATAAATCAATTGAAATAAGAAGAGCTATGGTAATTTGAACCAATAATTTGGCTGTAGATGAATATAGAGAATGTATTTATATCCATTATTTTTATAACTTTTGAACATTTTTATTTCAGCCATTGCCACCTGAGGAGAATACTCTTGTGGTAACTATCAGGAAACTGTGGAGTGCTCATCTTCATCCTGTAACACCTCAGATTCATCAAGTTATTCATCTCCTTGCCGGTATGAGAAATCTTTTCAAATAACAATGATCTGGCTTACACTTCCATTCCAGTAACTAAAAGAAAGATGCCTGTTCAAATCAAAACAAAGAACTTTATTCCTTTACAGTTAGTTTAATAGTTTAAAAAATTCACATAATTAAAATAGCAATAAACAGTTTGGGCTTGTAGAATCTAAAATATGTACCTATGTGTGTTCATGATTATGAAATTAAAAAAATACTAGGAATATGCAACTTTTAACAAATCCTGTAAAACATTGAAATATATTAGTCATGTTTCTCTATAATTTGGATATTTCACAGTTTTAAAAAAAAACAATTTCTTTTATTTATAAAATTGGTGAATGTAGAAAATTTTGTCCATTATATACAGGGTTCAAATACTTAGCAGATTTTTATTTATTTTTTTAATTTCTAAAATTACTTTTTAATGCTATATTTGTTTTAATTTCTAAAATTATTTTTAAAAATACTATATTTATGTGAATTAATTTGAGATTAAGTTAATGAACTAAACACTACTGCCTATTGTGTAAATTATTAAAGGTATAGATTAATTTTGTGTACAATCTATTTTTCATACACAATATCAAAGATAATGAGATCAAAATATTATGATTATCACTATATGAAGAAAATGCTTTTTACACCTACAAAACCAGATGTCTGAAAGAGTCAAACTTTTTAGAAAGTTCTTTCAGTAGTCTTATCTCCTTGAAACTATGACATGAAGTGATATAGCAGTCCTCAATTTCATCAACTACACAAAGATAACTCTATCTGGAAAGGGAAGATGCAAATGAATATTATCTGCACCCATCAGAAACAAGACAAGAGTTAAGCTCATTTATTGCACTGAAAATTTAGTCTGTATTTTCTGAACTACAAACACCATGATCTTATTGCCCATGTCATTTTCTCCAATAGGGTTCCATCTCTATTATTTGTATTTCACAATTAAAATGGCCAAAATAATAATAAGATGCAAATGCAGGATTAACAGAATGTTAATTTACATATCACATCATTTTTACTTTTCATTGTGTTACTTGTACATGAATAGAATCACCAATAACCTTCAGACATTATTTCATATTTATACATATATTTTATTTTAAAGCAGAAATAATAAAAAAACAAACTTTCATTTCTATTTTTATCTTAATTTTATAGTTTCCAGTTGTGTTCCCCTCCAGCAGGCTCTTCGTCGTGTGTGTTGGCAGATTGCAGATTTAGCAGCTCCATCTGCTTGTATGGTTACCAAGTGAGTATAAAGTTCTTCTATTAGATACTAGCATGTGGGATTGAAAATTAGTCAGATTAATGTTATGAGACAAAATTTTTTTAAATAGTACTTACTCTTAAGACTGTAGAAAATGTTAAATTTTTAATTTGTGTTGAACTTATACTTTTACTGGAAAATATTTTGCAAAAGACAAATCTCATTTTAAAATGCTTCTGCAATTTTGACTTTGCAAAGAAAATGGTGATTGACATTGCATTTAAATGTAGTTATCAGGGAAGCAAGTGAGAGTAAAGAAGTTCCAATGTTGGGAAGTGTGAGGAAAGAAACTGTTGGAGTAGAAGTGGCAGTTAAATTTAACTATTTCAACAGTAATAAGTGGGTGGAACCTAGACACCAATCTAGTAGCATGCTTAAATTCATGTAGTTGGAACACCAGAGGAAAAAAGCTCATGAGAGCAGTAGCCATGAAAATATTTATAGAAAAAACAGAGGGAAGCCACATCACATCTGTGAGAAAGTGTCTGAAGTCAAGATGCCTATTCAGGACTTAATTACATGACATATCCTTCTTTGGATTTTGTCAAGAACCTCAAGATGAATGGCAGGGACAGATATGGCAATAGTATTCAATGGATAGCCGAATAGAAGATTTGTAAATGTGCAAGATGAACTCTGGCATGACACAATGTGTAGAAGAGATGATGACTTATCTTGTGTGGCAAAGCCTGGCGTGCAAAATGAGTGAAGGACAGGAAAAAGAAATATGGCTGCCCTGACACCTTAATTTAAGAAAGACACAGATTTGGAGCTAATAGAATTGGCCAGAGTGGTTGGGCGTATGCAAATTTTTTGTGAGATCAACTTTGTATAAAAACACCACACAAGAGAGAAAAAGTGACAAGATGCTTGTGAATGTGGTACTGCGTATATGAAGAGACTTTGTCAGCTGGGAAAGCAATTATTTGAGTCAGAAAAGTTGGTTTATTGTGTGTGAAACACAATAAACCAACTTTTCTTGCAGTAGATGCAGCAATTGATTCAATATAGTTGTTTGACTTCAAGCCAGTTGAAAACGTGAAGCCAAGAAGGCACAGTGAGACATTCTCATGGAGAAGAGCATCAACCATACTGATGGTGGGGATTGCAGGGACGTTTTTTTTTTTTTTTTTTTTTTTTTTTTTGGTGGTTAAATGAGAGCAGTTTAGTTTTGGATTAAAATTTACAAGCCATTTCCTGCCCCAGTCAACCACTGATTAGAAGTCCTTTTTGATAGCAGTGGCTGGGTTAACTTTTGTCAGCACTGCCAGGCTTACTATTGAGACAGGAGTAAATGGTAGTATCATTTGCATAGATGCTTACTTGGGAACTGATGACATCAGGGTGATTATTGATGAAGATCAGAAACCATGCAGGACCCAGAATAGTCTTGGGGAACACCTGTATTAGTATGAAAGGAACTGGAAGAGACCCTGTTCAGAACAACCTTCATTTCATGATTTGATAGGAATGATGGATTAAATCAAATGTCCTGTAATACTGTAGCCCTGAAGCTTAGAAGACCAGCATGTCAAACCCTGTCAAATGCCTTTGAGATATCTAGAGCCACAGCTCAAGCTTCACCATTATTATCAAGTGCTTGATATATATATATATATATATATATATATAGTTGTGTCCATAAGCACATCAGCGGCAGACCGGGCAAAACAGAATCCATATTGTTTGTCAGAATGTAGATTGTGAGAGCTAAGATGCTCAAACACTTCAGCATTTATTAAAGCATTGAAGACTTTGCAGAAAATTAGTAGGAGACTGATAGAGTGGTAATTAGAGGGATCAGAAGGTTCTCCAGAGTTCTTAAAGACAGGGACAACATAGGAGGACTTCCAACAAGCTGGAAAGCAGGAAGCTGTGAGGCAATAATTGTATAGTTTGGAGAGAACTGGAGCCAGCTCAGGAGTACATTTCTTTAGGATGACAGCTGGTATCCTGTCACCTCCATTTGCCTTAGAAATGATGTCTGAGACCATCAACAGGGTTATGTATATATCACTCAGTATAGCCTCAGTTCTAGCAGGGAAGTCAGGTGTGAGCACTCCAGATGAGTCGAGTGTTAAGTTGGAAAAGAATTTACAAGCAAAGCATTAAACCTATTCTGCTGTAGATGTTAAGACTTTGGATTGAGGATTTGTTGTTGTTCATCACACTCATGCACAGCTGCCAATAATCTCTAGAACTGAACTTGCAAGATGCTATACCTTGTTTCATTCTATCAGCAAATAGAACTTTGCTTCCTTGATGACATGCTTGCACTCGTTACAAAAAAACGTCTGTTGCAATTGGACATCTCACTCTTGTACAGTCAGAAGAAGTGATTCCTGTGAGCTATAGTGGCCGAGCAAGCAGGTGAGAACCAAGGAGATGAATTCAGTTCAACTTGGTATTTCCCTGCTAGAATGAAAGCATTGATGCCAGGAGGATACCTCAAATGTGCATTTTTGAACAGGCTCATTAAAAACTTCTTTCCATGGAATGTCATGAAGGAAATCACAGACTGGGTCCCAATCTGCTTGTTGATAACAGAAGCATATTCTGTTGGTAGCAGGTTCATTCAGAAGGAAACATTTACCGGCACTACTGCATGATCAGAGTTGCCAAGGGAGCAGAGCTGTGTCACTTGACAAGAGTCAGGGATAGAGGAAAAAAGAGATAGAGAAGAGAAGCATTTTCTTCTGGGTTACTGGGAAAACACGTCAGAAAGTCAACCAATTGCATGAGGGATTGAGTGATTGAAAAGTTAAGGGTTTGGATGCCAGTGAGGTCAGTGACAGTGTTCAACCACCTGGTATGGTGGGCGTTAAAGTTACTGAACACCAATATGTTAGTAGATGGGTGTAGGGAGATGGCTTTGCCTATATTTTCAGAAATACTGTCTAGCATGCAAGGAAGGGGAATGGAAGAGAAAGAAGAGATAGCTGAATGAATTAAGTAGAGAGAGATGGAGACACATGCGTGAATGGTCAGGAGATTTGACAGAGAGCTCCCTTGCTAGCAGATGTTTGCAGACATAAACTCTCAGGCCATGCATGTGGACTTTAGAGTCCTTTCTAAGTAGAAGAAGGTAGCCAGGAATCAAGAAATCAGAGGAAGGGATTGATAAGTTAAGGTTAGTTTCACAGAGGGGCTAGGATGTCCAGAGACTTTTTGAAGAGGAACAGTTCCACACTGTAGAAGTTGGTACGAATACCACAAATGTTGGAGAAGAACAGGTTGAAGGGTTTAGGTGATTTTTGTTCAGCTGGTTTAGGTTTATAACTTTGGTTGTTTATAGTCATTATGTGTTATTTGGTAAGGAAAGGCCTAGGGTAGTAGTAGCTGTCAATCATCAAATGCAGAAGGAAACTGGTGCAGACTGTAACATAGTGTGGCCTTGGGGTTGCCCACTGGAGGTGCTTGCAGGGACACCCATCCATGCATGACATGACATTGCAAGAACTGATATTAGGCAACTGTTGATCAGAGCAGCCTCTCAAGATGCTATACAAGAGTTTGGGCTTTAAACTACCAGTCGAGAACAGCAACTAGAAAACCACCAACCTGGTACCCTCAGAATGAAGAGACATTGCTACCAACCATGCACATCACAAGAAATTCAAGACTGCACCACTATTAAGGCCAGAGAAAAGGAATGGAACTGGGAACCCCTTCCTAAACAGGCAACACTAATCAGGAGAAGAGGGAGAAGTATAAACTGAATGATAGGATGATAGGAGGGCCTATCTACTCCAATTTAAAAAAAAAAAAAAAAAAAAGGTAATATAAAATATTTAAGTTTTAACTTAAATGAATGGCAGATCTTCGTACTGTAAAGTTGGTAGTCTAGAGGAGGAGATTGGGCAGTACAATATTACTACCCCTTTCTTTTTTCAGCTACAATTCCAAGTGCCACTACTTCACTAAAGAATAAGAAGTCAGAAAACTACTAAATCTACCATGACATGAACTTTTGCTTACCCAACCAGTACTTAGAAAATGGAAGAAATCAAACAAATGATACAAAACTGTTCAAAAATTAACTGGGTTATCACAATTAGAACAAACACATCAAAATGTTATAATGGAAACAAATGGAGATATTGCAAATGATCAGGAAAAAAATTGAATATTAAATTAAAAATGAGGACATACATTATGTTCAAGAAAAGACTGGAATTGTTCCATGAGGCTGTTAAGCTTGTTAAATGTGTAGAAATGTATTTATGACATATTCGGTTCATATTTGTTCTAAAGTAAATGTCCTGATAAATGTTTTATTATCTTCATTTGATATTGTATGTTGCTTTAAAAATCTTAAAATGAATTAAATTTTATAATTACTCAGATGCTAACCATCAATTTTCACTTTATATTAAAAAGAAAAACAGGCCTTTATTAAAAGCTAGAATGAAGTAGAATTTGATGAAACAAAATAATCTTTCTTTTTGAAATTATGAAAACTGTTTTATATATTGTTACGAACTTGTAGCATATAGATGAACCACGGGTTCTAAAAAAAAAGGAAAACGTGATTTCTTTTCTCGGTCTTCACTCAGAAATGGAAGCGACACAAGGGAATCAACGAAGAACAGACACAAGACGATGGATTTCAAAACAAAACATTTATTTATAAATATATATAACGAAATAAAGAAAGAAAGAAAGAAAAAAAAGAACATTCATTTAACAAAGGGGGAGGACATCATTAAAGAATAGAAGGCGCGAAAAAATACATACATATATGAAAACAGATCAAGCCAAAAGAACCAACTTATCTTGCAGTCGGGTTGATATCTTCACATAAAGTTTTGATTGGCCAAGCGAGAGTTCTGATGATAAAACAGTATCTTGGCCGGCCGACAATATTCCTGGATTCTTCTTCTTTTCACGAGTGTTCGTGGGTCCCCAGCATTTCATACAGGCATTTGGTTGGTTTGTCAGTCCATAGCAGCCCTTTCACTCCCAGTCGACAGACTTTTTTG